TCATTTCCATCTCCGCGCTACAAAATATCTGCACCAAAAGAGGGACCAACGAAATGTCTCAACTCTCTGCCAGAGCTTTCTCTGTTTTAGCTCCATTATGTATTGTACCCTCGGGATTACGATTCGATGCTCGAGGAAGTTGGGAGCGGCGACCGAAAGGAGGGCAACTTGATCATGCCTCCATACTGTGAAAAATTTGTACCCGAGATGGCAAATTGGTTCCACGGTGGACCGGTGGAATGCAAGTGGGAATCCGCCATGGATGATAGCAAGCGAAAAACAGACAGACAGATCGAGCGAAGAGCATCCTGGAGCAAATGGTGTAGGCGGCGGATTCTCCGAAGGTGTCTTCCATTCGTGTAAGATTCCATTTGGTAGGAGTGACTGAAATTACCCCACGCTAAATGCGTTTTGTTCGACGTCATGGGAACTCGGGCCCGACGGCGTTCGACTAGGCGGTGCCCTTAGGGTGCTATTCCACTAGTCATTGAGCTCTGGTGGTGCAAACTCTCAGAATGATCGATGTGCTGTTGTCTATGAGTACCTCTCGGTGAAAACCAACCATGAACTGAAGTCGTGACGTACCGAACGGACTTGCTTCGTCGATTCTGAGTGCGGCGAGTTGAGGGTTTCGTTGCAGCTTGTCAATAATGGCTTATCACTTGGGCTCTTCCATGTCTATGATAAAAAATTAAAAAAGAAGCTTCTGGGTAGATTCACAAAAGAGAACAAGATGAATTCTACGTAGGATCGCAAGCTGCGTTTTGCTTTCCGCTAACGTTCCACTAGGCCCTCCTGCTTCTCCTCGTGATTGTTGCTTTGAATTCTACTTCGTCCCAAAGTCACATGTCCTGGTTTGTCGGGTGGATGCCCCGTCGATTTCAATCGTAGTCGTTGGTGACACAAAAAGCTGTTCGATATTTACAAATAAATACAAAATTTCCTCTGCCTGGTGGTATAGGCAACCACAACAAGTTGGCATTATGACTCAACCCCAGTGTGCTGTGATTTACCTCCTCCAACATCTCAAAGCCCTAAAATTAAACATATCTTATTTCACTATTTTTGATTGAATTCGTTCTAGGGACGGTTCTCTTCGTTCTAAACAGCCTAAAGTGATACCTTGTTTTTGTGATCGAATATTCAACTCTAGAAAAATCTTCGAAAAGTTTGAAGTCATTGTTTTTCAAAGTGAGTAACTCGTCTTATGATACATTGACAATTGAGAAATAAGCGATAGTTAAGCGTCCAATTTCACAACACGTGTTAAGGAAATCTTTGGATAACATGAACTGCCGTTATATGTCGCAAAAGTTACTAAAAATAATACAATAAACGTCATTGTACAGATACAAACGAAGCCATACTAATTACAAGAGTATACATAGCAAGAATGAATAAAAGTAGTGATTTGTTTTCATAAATAAAAGCAAAAAGACAACTGCTCCATTCAATTTTTGCTTTTATGAACTGACATCCTTTTGCCTTTTCTATGACGCTGAACACCTTTAAAGTTTAATGAACTGACTAAAAGTATCCAGAATCCACTGTCGCAGAAAAGGTATTCCTATCTGGGGTACACAAGAATCGCGGTGACCAGGGCCACCTATTTACGCGGCGTTAGGGTGATGATACCTTTCTCCGCGCATCAGACGGGGCTCGAAATATTTCGAGGAGTTGGAAGAAAAGGAATTATTCATCCATTCATGAGACGAAGACCTCCTTTATATTATTTTTTGCTTCGGAGAATCTTTGAACTAGATTCCTTGGACACCATTGAAGTACATTCAGACCCATCAGTTTTAAATTGAAAAGGTGATTACCTTAGATTTGATCACTGTATAGTAGATTAAGAAAATTAAAACCAAAATAAGATTGGAAAAAATAAATAAATAAAAAAAATCAAGATACTTTTTCAACAGGCTCAACACTAAATAAAACCATAAATAAAACCATAAAGATTGTAGGTATGTATTAACTGGAATGAATTATATATATACATGAAAATAATGTATTCATTTTGAGAACTTTCAAAGACGATTTAATAGTTGAATGTTAAATATGTACAAGAATATTCCGATTAAATGAAGAGTTTTAAAATTCATGATCATATCAATAGAATTGTGATAATTTCATTGGATGCACATTCACAAGGATTATTAACAAGTAGAAATGTGTCCCATCTTTTATATCACATTTTATGATTGTTGGAGAATATTTATTGTTTTGAAAAACAAAATAGTTTATATTGCACTCAGAAGTTAGTTGAATCCCATATATTTGATTGAATGTAATGCTTTGACTTTATATTTTAATTCTATTGAATAACTTTTTTTTTTTTTATTGACACCAAGGAACATTTCAACATCATATTTTAAAACAAACCATCAAACCATGTATGTTTTTAATTTCAATTATAATTTTATTCATCTACTATATATAGTTAAATCAAATACCTTGTTCTTATCTAAACATACCATATTTAAAAGGAACCGAAGTTTTTGAAAACGTTATTTTATGCATAAATTGAGTGGAGTTCAAAATGTGTCTGTGAATTATGAAATAAAATTGAGTCGCTTCAGTTCCACAGAAATTTCATGGCGTATTTCATTTTTTTACTGAATTAATTGAGAAATCAAAAAGTTAGTTTTGGTGCACTTCTATGATTTCTATTGAACTGATTTCACAAGGCACATAATCACAACATTATCATGGAAAACAATAAAATAACTGCTACGAAAGAAATGAAATTTTATATTTAAAAAATACCATATTTTTATTATTTAGTAAAATATTACAAAGTTATTTATCTTTGTATTTGTTCTGACACTTCAAAATCTGGATACTACATCATTCTCTGCAGTTTTTTTAAATTGATTAAGAGTCATACACATACAATTGCATTGCAGAGGTTGGTGTCATGAGTGTTACACTTAATATAAGTTGTAATCGAAAAGATAAAACTAAGAAGATTTAGGGTCTTCTGACAAAAATATTGGATATCTTGATTGTTAGTGAATGTCAATTAAGCATATTCAATTTAACTTCATTTGTAGTATATTAAATATGCACAATGATTACATTTATTTAATTTTGAGAATGACATATGTCACCAGGATTCAAAACATGAATTGTAAAATACAACAAATGAAAAATTGTATAATATTTTAAATATTTTAAAGAAAATAACATAAGCATGGCATATTCATTCAACCCTGGAAATTCATTCAATCTTATTGACAAATTTTTGTTCATGAAATCACATTTTACTACTATAAATACCAAAAGCATAGTTTTTCTATCGGAGATACCTTTGACCTACAATTTATCCTGCATTATTTTTCTTCAATTAATTTTTATTTTTAAAAATATATATTTTATTTATTTTATGGCATATGATATCACCATTATATTGCAATAATTATGATATTTAAAACGTTTGTTGTTATTCTTATATAATTTTTGTATTGAAATTTTAATTGACGTGGCACTACTTTTTATATATATTTTGAAATATTATTTACACATCACTGCAATCATAATAATACTCTTCAAAAAATGTCTTATTTTTCTAGCTTGATTTAAAAGTCTATGACCATTATTCGATATCATTACTACAAACAAAATCCAAACAAGTGCTCCATCTGAATAATAATAATGATAATATTTGTAACAAATTCATATAATTACACATAGTTAAAAATATTAAAAAAAAAAAATTAATACTGCTGAGCTAGATTTTTATTTGTACACAATCTTTTTAAAACACAACATTCACCCATTTTTATTTAGAGAATTGTTAATGCTACATTCTTAATTGATATTGCTATACACCACATGACTTTTATATGACTAAAAAGTATGCTTATATGCTTTGGGTGCATTTGGCAACCCAATATTTAATCCTCATATTGATCCAAAAATATAATAAATTATTATTATTTTTTATGTTTTTGGTAGCCAAATAATAATAAAAATAAAAAACAAAATTTTGAATTAAACCATTTTTGAGCCATGTATGTATGTATATATATATATATATATATATATATACACACACACACACACATATATATATATATATATATATATGTATACATATATACATATGCGTATTTTTTAAAAAAATTTCCCAACTTGTTTTTTTCATAAAATATTTATTATCTCCCTCTGAACCACTACCTTTTCTTAAAGCAAAGAAAAAGAAAAACACATGAAAGAGAGAGACATATTATTAGCTAGTTGTCTTTGAGGAGGTCACATAGGGTGTAACGATGTCAGTTGGAGATGGAGCATTAACAATTCTCTTTTATTTATTTAAAATTCTAATGTGCATCCACTTTTCTTTATTCACTAAACATGAAGAGAAAACACCATTTCTCTTGTGAGAGAATCAACTTATGCTTCAAAAACCACGTGTTGTAAATTGATGCATCGACACAGGCAACACTAGGAACCTTATTTAATGCTTGAATGACCAAGTAAAATAAAGCCCCATACTAATTAACAAACTAGCGAACTAGTAACTTACTAGTAGGAGTGGCAAAGGGAGAAGAAGAAGAAGATGAAGCGGCGATGGTCGAAGACGAAGATCGTCGTCGATTGCAGTAAAGCATGTCGAAGAATCGATGAATTTGGCTTTGGAAAGGGTTCTGTTAATTTCCCGATTACTACTTCGGAGATGCAATTCGGGGTGACAGATCGGACGACGATGGTGGGTTTTACTACGGAGTGAAACAAAGTCTTCGGCACCGGGAGCCTTGAGAGGGGGAGGAAATGGATGAACGACAGAGGGAAAATTGGAGCAACCGGGGGCCGAAACCCCTCCGGATGCGAATGAGGAATGAAGAATGAAGAACGAAGAATGACCGGTACTGGAATCTGGGTTCAAAAAAATCCGCGTGAACTCTGAGGTACGGAGGATGCGCGACAGCGTCGATGGTCGAGGGAGGGCGTGAGTTTTGGAGTTTTGCGAGGTCCCACTGCGTTTCGTCACTACTGCTCGCTGCGAGGTTCGCATATTTAAAACACAGCGGCTCACTGAAGTTCTCACCGAGGTCCAGAGATCAGCTCGCAGGACCTCGAAACTGAGCTCTAGTAGCGTAGAATTAGCGCAAGGGTGGTGTAGGTGAACAGAGCGACGAGACCATTCTCGTCATCGTAGTTATAAGACGCATACGAGATTCCGCAGTGTCGAGAGTCGGGTACCGAGCCCGCGCGAGAGTGAGGATTTGCTACAGGCCTTCCTTTTATTTGTCGACATTATTGTCCGAGTAGGTTGTGGCTGAAGTTGCGGTGGAACAGGTAATCCGAATTGTTCTGCATCAGCGCTGTTTTTTTTCTTTTTTTTTTCCCCTCACGTCCTAGGTATGTTTTTGAAACGTGTTGTCTGAGGAACTTGTTGCCAGTGTTTTGAATCCTTTCGACCATCCTCCTCATGTTTGCGAGCGCGCGCGCTCGCGCGCATGTGTGTGAACTTGTTAGTTGTGCCTGAATATTTTGACTTATCTGATGAGCATCCTTCATGTGACTTGCAAGGCTTTCCGCAATGTATTGTGGAAGTGTTGGGTGTCGGTCCCCCCAACGAAGCATTGGTGATTGAAATAGCACACTGCACATTGGTCGCCAATCCTTGTTTGGACGGTGATCGGGAAAGAGTTTGAAAGTCATCTGCAGTGTCTTCGCTCTGATCAGCAAATCTTTCAGTTGTAGAGAACAGTTACATTTGAGAGTTCAGAGCTTACAGTTAAGATTCGGATTCTGAATTTCTCGCTTGAATTGTATGCAGGTTGTGTGTAGAACTCGAAGCAGTCAAGTTTGCCTGTCGAATTTCTCAAACTTACTACAGTTCTTCTCAAACAAGAAGTTTGTTAGCCGCGATGGCAGCAACAGGGACTTTCGCCTCCACCCGTTACACCGCACTGGCGAGGCCAGCTCGCTGCGAAGCAGTCGGCTACGATGCCACCATGCGGTCGGGCTTTAAGGGGGACCTCAAGCCTGCATCTTCTGGGTTCTTGGCTGGTGGCGGTCGTCTGGCTCTCGTCACCAGCGTTGGTCCCAAACGCACAGTTGCCAGAGCCAAGACCATCGGCCTTGAAGTCTCCGCTGTGTTGGCCGAACGCCCAATGGGGGCTCTGGTAATGAGCTTATCTTCTTTCTCTCGCGTGCAGGCTGAGCCTAGATTTTTTCCGTGGTGGATAGTTCTGCAATTGTAACATGGGTTAAGCGGCTGATCGTGCTGCTCATCTCACCAATGCAAAGAGAGGGGGAGTGAGAAAGTTTGTGTAAATTCATTGTGTTGCGCATATTCAGTAAAGCAACTCTTGCGTTTTCGGGTTAGCCGATACTTTTGCGAGCTTTACATTTATCCGTCTTTGCGGGCTGCAGACCAGACAAGTAACACGGGAGATGGAGAAAGAAATGGAGAGGGAAAGGGAGAAGGAGAAATCGAGGGAGAGCATGAGCTCGAAGGAGCAGGTGAACATGACGAAGGTGTTCTCAATCATCCTGGGAGGAGGGGCAGGCACTCGACTCCAACCCCTCACTCTTCGCCGAGCAAAGCCAGCGGTAAGCGATGGCAATGTCACATGGAATTTCCTTGCGACGCAGGACAACCTGCAAGTCTTGTACGATCGAACAATTACCATTATGGCCTGCAGGACATAATTAATTCTGTACTATCTTTTTTTCTTTTCTGACAGGTGTTGGTAGGTTTATTGTCGAAAAACTTATGTACAACCGGGTTGGTTTCTCTGACACTCGCCAATTGGTGAACAGGTTCCACTTGGGGGTGGCTATCGATTGATCGATGTGCCCATGAGCAACTGCATTAACAGCGGGATTAACAAGATTTATGTTCTCACTCAGTTCAATTCTACGTCTCTCAACCGCCACCTTGCCAACACTTACAATTTCGGCAACGGTTGCAACTTCGGTGATGGTTACGTGGAGGTCCTGGCTGCTGCCCAGAGGCCTGGCTTCGGCGGTGACAGGTGGTTCGAAGGTACTGCGGACGCAGTGAGGCAGTACATGTGGTTGTTGGAAGATGCCAAAAACAAAGACGTCGAAGATGTGGTGATCCTGTCCGGGGATCACCTGTACCGCATGGATTACCAAGATTTCGTCCAGGTAGGCACCCGGCCTAATCCCATGGCGCTTCTCAAGGCATCTTTCTCCAATTACCTTGGAAAGAATAACCCGAATTTGGAACTCGAGTTGGAATTTAACTAACGACCTTCGATTTACTTGAAACCTCGCGAATTGCAGAAACACAAGGATTCCGGAGCTGATGTGACTGTTTCTTGCATACCCATGGACGATAGTCGTGCTTCTGATTTTGGCTTGATGAAGATCGACGGAAAGGGGCGAATCAACCACTTTTCTGAAAAGCCGAAAGGAAAGGACCTGCAGTCGATGCAAGTGGACACCACTGTACTCGGCCTGTCCGCGGAGGAGGCTCAAAAGAAGCCATACATCGCTTCCATGGGCATTTACGTCTTCAAGAAGAGCGTGCTCGCCAAGCTGCTCAGGTGGAGGTATCCCCTCGCCAACGACTTTGGCTCCGAGATCATCCCTAAGGCTGCCAAGGAGTTCAATGTGAACGCCTACCTCTTTAACGATTACTGGGAAGACATTGGAACCATCAAATCCTTCTTCGACGCGAACTTGGCGCTCGCAGCAGAGAATCCCAACTTCAGTTTCTACGACGCTGAAAAGCCCATTTACACATCCGCCCGCTACTTGCCCCCAACCAAGATTGAGAAGTGTAGAGTGAAGGATTCAATTGTCTCCCACGGATGCTTCTTGCGGGAATGCAGTGTAGAGGATTCCGTCATTGGAATCCGATCCCGGCTCGAGGCTGGGTGCGATGTCAAGCGCGCCATGGTGATGGGAGCTGACTCCTATGAAACCGATCCCGAAGCGGCTGCTTTGTTGGCGGAAGGAAAGGTACCTTTGGGCGTCGGCGAGAACTCAAAGCTGAGGAATTGTATTGTGGACAAGAATGCAAGAATTGGCAAGGATGTTGTCATTGCGAACACTGACGTAAGTGCTCACTCACGTTTCTCACCTCCTACACTTCCCGATCTGCAATCCTCTTATCTATCCGCAATTTGAGCTGAACTCGAGCTGATTTTGGTTTTTCGCGAACATGCGCAGAATGTCTTGGAAGCGGAGAGACAAAGTGAAGGTTTTTACATCCGTTCCGGAATTGTAGTAGTATACAAGAACGCGGTTATCAAGCACGGAACTGTAATCTAAATTACGAATCTTTCTCCATATCGTGAAAACTGCTTCCTTGCAACGCCGGTCCCTGGTGAGCTGATCCTTGGACCTCATCATCGACGGTGAAAAAGATATCAGTACTTATCCGAGTTGTGAGATTCTCAGCTCGTGATTACTGATCCTCTTCCTCTTGCCACCCTGAAGATTGCCGCGCAGGATTGGTTTGTGTCGGTATATCAGATCAGTAGTTCTTACATAAGACTGAATTGAAATGTACAAAGAGATCAGATCATCGGGAGTGGAACCGTTCAGAGGAAGAAACCTACCGTATAGTCAAGTGGACGAAGATTATGGTATCAATTTTGGAGTGTAAAGTGTGAGCGACTTCTACTGTCCTTGTATCATACCCCATTGAAGTAAAGAATTGTGCAAAGCCTTGACAGCGATGCTGTTGATGTCTGATGCTTCACTCCATCCTGGTTGGCTTCACAAGTCAAAATTGATGCGTCTTCATTATGAACATAACAGTTCGTGGAATAAATTAATGTATTTTCACTATTTAGTATACTGTCAATTCATGAAGCTGTGTACAAAAGTAGTACGCTTGGAAGGTCCTAGTCTTTACTTCATATAAATAACTAAATAATCACACGGAGATATGTGAACTTAAATCAAATGGTGATTTTACATCTGAACAAGAACCGTTTGTATTTTAAAAAGAGTTAGTTTAACTGTTCATTGTAACAAAGTTTCGCTATTCTCTTGTAACTGGTTCCTTATATCTACAATGGGACATGTATAGAAAGTACGTCGTTGTTCAGTCTTGATTTTATTGTACTGTCAGTGAACACTTGGTTACAATAATTTTAACCTAAGTTTGCTGTGGCCGTAAACCACGAAAAACTTTACAAACAGAGAAAACAAGTAATTTGAAACTGCAAACCAGCCTAAAATTAGAATGCGTTTCAAACACATGTGCAACAACATTTGACATTAGAGTTTGAGGCAGAGAGTATAAATGACCACCTCCTTCACTGGTACATTAATAGACACAAAACTGTACATAGTAAACGGGATACAGATCTGGTGAGCACCAGCACCCACTTTGGATCACTGATTGAGCCCAAGAACACAAATCGAATGGTTCGTATACAAAACGAGAAGCGATCTTTTGGGTCTGCCATTTGGCGACCTCTAGTGAATCCTGCTGCTACTTCTATACACAAGCACTCAAAATGAAGCTATTACAGTCTGCGGACGGGAGTAATTTTGTAGGTCTTAGATACCTCATCCATGGACAAATGCATACTGGCCATTCTTATTCTATGCGTAACGTGGGAAGATGCCTTTCCGTTTTGCCTCATCGGGTTGTGCACCATCAGCAGCACCTTCATGCCCTGCTTCATCTGCGCCAGCCACCCTGCGCCAGCCTCCAGGTAGGGCTTAAACCCTGAGAAGGTGACTACCATCAAATTGCGCCACACATTGAACGCCATAGTCTCTAATGTTTCAGCCTGACATACCAAAATGCAGTGTCAGAAAAAGCCTGAGCTGCGAGCTTTTCGGCACCAGAACTGTGATACAAAGCACAACTAGCCCTGAAAAACATTTATGTTAAGCATGTCAAACGCCACAATGGTTGGACAAAGGAAGGCGCTTCTGTTGGTCACTTCTTTTAGGGCTTCGTCATCAGTGCGCCCAATAGACCAGATGACGGGTGTTTGAAATAATTCTACAATCTCACTTCAACAAAACAAACAAACAAACAAAAAAGAAAAAGAAAAAAAGAAGCACGCGCACACACACACACAGAGCGAGCGAGCGAACAAGAGAGAGAGAGGATTTATTTTTTTTTTTAAAAGAAAAAATATTTTAAATTAAATCCCTCGAGAATGATCAAAGTTGCGTGGTTCTCCTATCAACAATTTGCTACTTAGTGTAGCAACAAAACAGATTCCTCGACCTGCTCTTAACGCTTGCCCAATACGAAAACGGGCAACCAGAATTGGGCCACTCATGAATCGCAAATTGTTAGAACCACCGTCCACGGGGCTCGCTACACAAAATCACCTTGAGGGCCAGAGAATTGACCACTATGTCACGAAGTCACCTCCCAAAAATGATCTCTTTTCTTTTCTTTGCAATACTTGCAACCTAAAGAGGAAAATTTCCACGATCAGGCAGGTTTATGAGAAGGGGACAAGAGCCTGTGCGTTCCGCCGATACGAATTCAAGGCTACAAACACGATCAACCCAATTGAAAGCATCCGAGGCACAAAGAAACTCAAATCCAATCCACTTTGTATCCTCAGTACGATCACGAGCAGAAAACACGCAACAAACACCGAGTCATTCAAGAAACTAGGAGTATTCTCCACATTTCTTCACAACTCCCCGTAACTATCCTACCGATTACCCGCACAGCATTCTCTCTCACCCGAATATCAAAACTCACACGACTGTCACAATCACCAGACAAATCAACGACTCATCCACCGCACGTATCCGTAAGACACTCCGATCTCGCAAACTACCACTCAAACACCCATCTGATCGCTACCCCAAACACATATACACACACACAAACTACCCCCAAATCCTGGCCCCCACCTAGCACCACCACCACCTTCACCACAATCAACCAATCCACGAAATCATACCCAAACGAATGCAACTTGGGGTCCGGATGCAAGTCACAGCGAGGAGAAGAGAAAATCCATGGCAAGGGAGAGAGGGAGCAGAGGACGGACACAGTGCGTCGCGGACGATGACGGTGCAGTGGGCAGACGAGGCGAGGCAAGGCAAGGCAAGGCAGGGCTCCACAAGGACGAGAAGCAAAGTGGATGATGATGATGATGCTGCTAATACTGCTGCGCCTCCTGCCTGCTGCTACTCCTGATGCCGCTGGTGCGGACCCAGTCGCAGCCTGCGTGCCTGCCCTGCCTCTCCTGCCTGGCTGCAACTTTCGGAATGCCGTAAAAGCTGATTCGACTCTTGAAGATGAAGAAGTCGAAGACGACGAAGTAGTAGTAGTAGTACCTCCTCGCTGGCTCCAACACCATCAACAAGGTCCTCCTCCTGGATCGACCTGGCGCCAGACGAGGGAGTAGTCCCTCAATCCGATTCCATCCATCCCTCCCTTCCCTGCCCTTCCCTTCCCTTCTTTCCTTCCCTCTCTCTCCCTCTTGTCTCCGAAATACACCACGTTGACGCCCAATTTCGGTGCTGGAGTGTGGGTGTGTGCGCTTGTGCATGCGCGTGCGATTGGCATTGCTCCCAGCGCTCTAGCGCTACATCACTCTCCTGCTCTAGTATATTTGTCCATTTCCATCATCGCCTCCTGAACACAGACACACGCACAATCTCATATCTATGTATATTTATAATTTCACACACACATACATATGCATATTCATTCAAATATTAATGTACATGTTTGTACAGTGCTGGAGGAGGAATATGCATTTGTTTGTTTGTGTGTGTCTTTGTCTTCATGGATTTTCATTTTTATGCTTCCATTATTATTATTTTTTAATATCTGTATATATTATTCTCATGGTTGTGGGTGCTCTGTGTGAAGGATTGTTTTCCAGTTTTGCTTGCAAAGGTTATGAATATCAGAATGAGGAATCCGCATTCTTTGGTGGGAGTCGGGATGGATTCTCAGGGATTTGTTTGAAAGGGGAGGGACTTGTACAAACACACATGTGGGTGAAAATAATTAACATTTGAATGATAAATTGCAAACTAGATGGCTTTTAAGTGGATTATAATCTAGTTAAATTCCAAAATCCATAATTTTAAACTTGGTTTTAAGTCATTTATATGTATAGTATATTGTATGTTATTTATATATATTAAAATATATCATTAAATTATTTTAAAATTATATAGATTTATTGACAATTTAACTATTTTAAAGATTGAGTTAACTTTGCAAATGGATTAATGTTTTTAAGTTTTGATTTGAACTATTTGTGTATTTTATGTATCTACAAATCCAATAGTAGACTTAGGTTTAGGATTTAGACTTTAGGTTAGATAGGTGTGCTCAATATTTTTTATTCTCCTTATTTTTTAATTTTGATTTGACCTACTTCTTTTCCTTCCCTCCAATTTTTGTTCTTTATAATTTCAATGGTAAATACTAAATCATCTATAGTAGTTATACCTTGTTTTTTATAAATATTATAATTCTATGTCTTTAATTTTTTTATTTTTTTAACAAGACTCTTTTAAGTTATAAAATCTTTTAAATCCTATGAAACACTTTGATTATTGAATAATTTTTTTAGTTAAGACTATCTTGTAATTTGAATTGATAGATGAATTTTACCTTCATATTTTGGGTGCATTTACTAAGACATGGTGCTTCTAATTGTGTGTATGAAAGTGAATGTGAATCTTAAGATTGGCATAAGATCTCAAACTTGGTAGTTAGTTGGAACACATGTATCTATTATGAGAAGTTTTTTTTTAACTATTGAGTAATATTACTATGTTGAAATTAATATGACATCTCAACTTGTTATATAATTAAATTACATAAGAAGAAAAAGAATTCTTATGTTATTTCATAAAATAAAATAAAAAAAATTAAAAATTTACTTATTTTTTTTTTTATTTTAAATCATTCAATAGATCTTTTTGACATGAGTGATTAACTTAAAAAAATATATATTTAATTTTTTTCCATTTAAATGAAAGTCTTAAGTAGCTTATATTATTATCACTATATTTTATAGTCTAGATGTATTTTATAATCTAAAAAAGAGTTTAAAAAATATAATTTTAGAAATTGACTTGCCAAAGAAGTTTGTAATAATATATCATAAGCTTTTGTTAGAATGGAGCATGGTAGAAGTCATTTTTTAGAATTTCAAGTAAATCCATCATCTTTTTTAACTCCAAGGACTAATATAGCCAATAGAAGTAGGCAAAATATCCAATATGATTTGATGATGTTGTTTAGAAAACTACCAATCATAATACCTTTGAAATTGCTAAGAATATTAATTTTTTCAACCTCCAAAGATTTAGTGGATTTATCAACAAAAACCTAACAATACATATAAAATAATTTGTCAAAGTACTAATTATTAGTTTGGTGATAAACCATAGATATTATTTGATATTGTTTTCAACAGCCTTAATGGATTTTGAATATATATATCTATATATATATATATATATATATTTATAGTATAGATTCTATACAAAGAGATCATACTCTATATAGAAATAATTTCTAGCATCCTTTCTTTGTCAATTTAGATTCATAATTGGCCAATAATAAGCTTTTTTTGTTCTAATAAACATTAGACAAGATTCTTTAAAAGATATAACTTTGTATATATGGAGCTTTTGTGTAGTATGCATCTATTACATTAGCAATCTTATAAATGAAGATACTATAAGGCACTACTTTGTCTAATGTTTTGTTATGCCTTCTATGTTTCAAGATATGTAAAACATAATATCTAAGGATTTAAAAAGAGCCATTTACGTTGCTTTGAAAGTCAACATTATTGTATTGTAACATAAATATAAGATAAAAAAAAATAAATTATAGTTTAAAAAAGTAGATGCAAAAGATAGAGAGGAAAGAAATACATTTAGTATTAATACTATTTTTATATAAAAAGGTTTCTACTTAGTTTTTGAAACTATAAATAAGAAAAAATAAAATAATTAAAAAAATACATCTTTAGAAGTAATTTAAGAAGATTTTTTTTTTAAAAATTACCTTAAAAAGTTAAAAGTTGATACTCAAAGAGGACCAATTAAGAACTGAGATCAAAATCAAATCCCAAGCACAAAACCATGTGCCAACGGCAATTTTGAGGTTCTTTTGTTGATTAGAAAGCAAGATTAAAAAAAAAAAAAAAAAAAAAAACTTTATTAAATATTAATTTAGAGTTATTTAAATTAATATTAAATTTATTTAAGTTTTCTAAAATAAAAGATATTTTAAGCAGTTTGAATTTTTGAAAAATAAAAGGGAGCTCATATGTTTTATTTTTTTAAGCATTATAGCAAATTAACAAGTGGTAATTTGTGTGCTTGTGAATCTACTTGTTTTGATTTGATTTGATTTTTTAAAATTTGAACTCAATCTAACAATTATTTCAAAGGTTATTAAAATTCAACTAGGTTAGGATTACAAAATTTAGATTTCAAGGATCAATAGAGGTTTCTTTAATCTTAAGTAATCTCATAGTTGGATTGAGGCAAATTTTTATAAGCAAGTTTTTAACTTTATTTTCAAATTTTGTTAATTTTGAATAGAAGTGAATGGTTTAATAAGAAGTTATTGCTACTAGAAGATCAACACTAAGGTTACAAAATAAAGATGGCCAATATCCAAGAAATTAAGGAGCTTTTTCTTCCAATGAGTAAATTAGATTCTTCTTTAAATTATTTTGCTTTTTGCTAATCATTAGATTGCATTGTGTGAAAATTCTAAGCAAGATCAAAGAATTAACTAATAATTATTAATGTTTTGAAAATATTTTAGGATTAATAAGGATTAGATAGGTTTTCATTATAATTTCATTAGGGTTTGTAGGGTATCATTAGGATTTCATTAAGATTTATTAAGATTTGTCAGGTCTTTTATAATAGTTTATTAGAATATGAAAAGGATTTATTTAAGATTTATTAAAAAAAATTTAAGATTTTTGTAGGATTATTAGAATTTATTTAAGGTTTGGTTAAGATTTTCTTAGGATTTAATTTAGATAATTTTAAAATTTATTTAGAAATTCTTTAGAATTTTTTAGAATTTTTTTAGTATTTTATTTTTTAGAAATTTAAAAATATTTCTTTATAATTTCTTTAGGATTTTTTTAATAATTTACTTATAATTGTTTTTAGGATTTCTTTATGATTGTATTATAAATTCTTTAGGATTTCTTTAGAATTGTTTCTAAAATTCTTGATGATTTTTTTGATATTTTTTATGAATTATCAATTGATTCTTTTAGAATCTTATTTAATTTCTATAGGATTTGATTAGGTTTTGATTATAATTTTTAAGATTCAATTAAAACTTGCTTAAATTTTTATTAAGATTGTTATATTTTTTGTTTGTTGCAAATATAATTTACCTTCTACAATTAGATGCCTAGTGCATTGCTATATTAGTTTTCACATAATACAACAACATCATTGAAAAAAAAAAAAAAAAAAAAAAAAATTGCATCCTTAAAAAGATAAAAGAATCAATACTTGCTTTTATACTTTTACAACATTGATCTACTCCATTCCATCAACATCTAGCTATAAGCTACTCTTGGTTTTCTACTTTCTCATTACTAATTAGCAATGTAATATTATTGGCTATACAACTTTCATTTGATTAAGCTCTAAATAAGACCTTCAAAAATATTAAATTGGAAGAATTTCAAAATATAGTAAGGCAAGAAAATGGTGCATTAAAAAACCAAGTTGATAAATAATATGAAGGCCATTAGTGAAAAAATTTCTTACCTCATTAGAAACCAAAGTCAAGCTATAGATCCTAAATACCATAAAAAGATTTTGTATAACGTGTTGTCTTATATGAGAATGGACTAGGCATTTGGCTTTGGAAGATAAACTTATATTTTTTAAATAATAAAAAATCTAAAAATCTTAATAAATTCCCAAATAAATTCCAATTGAAACTTAATACCTCTTATCAAATATTAATCAAATCCTAAAGAAATATTTAAAAAAATATTAAAAGAATCTGAAAAGAATCTTAAAAGAATTCTATAAACATTCTAAAAACATTATAAATAAATCCTAAAGAAATCCTAAATAAAACTTAAATAAATCCTAAAAAAATTCTAAATATGTCCTAATAAAATCTTAAGTAAATTTTAGCCTAATTCCAATTAAACCTTAGAAAATTCTAATGAAATTACAATAAAATCCTAATCAAATTCTTAAGATATCCTACTAGAATCTTTAATAAATTGTAACAAATTTTCATAAAATTCTAAAGATATCCTATTCAAATCTCATATAAATTTTAATAAATATTTATAAAATTCTAAAGATATTATAATCAAGTTTTAAGAAAATACTAAAAATATTCTAAGTAAATATTAACAAATCTTAATTATATTTTAATCAAATTCTAATAAAATCTACTTAAATCTTAATGAAATTTTAAAATCTTAATAATTACTGATTAAATCATGTATTTTGCTTCAAAATACACATACATTTCAATCTTCTAATTAAAAAAAAGATTAAAAAAATTTAAAGAAAATCAAACTTACAAATTGAGATAAAATAATCTCAATGAACTTAGGTATTGGCCATTGCCTTTCTCCAATCTTGATATCAATCTATGAGCAATAATAGCTGTTTATTGCACCATTTACTTGCATTCAAAATTTTAAAGCAAATAAAGATTTCAAATTTAGTTTACTATCAACTAATATAAAATTATTTCAATTAAGTTGAAAAATTTCTCAAAATTATTGAAATCTTTATTGAACCTTAAAATCCAGTTTCATAAAATTATTAATCCAATTAAATTTCAAAAATCTTTGATCTTATTTTTTAATTAATTTTAAATTTATAATATGTATTTTTAAAAAGTAGATTCACAACCTCTCAATTATTTTTTGCTGGTCTACTATAATACTCACAAAATTCTCTAAAATATAAATCTTTTTTTATTTCACAAAATTCCAAATCATCTAAAAATACCTTGGCTTTACAAAGCTCTCACAAAATCAATATCCATCCAAATTAATCAAAACCAACATTTAAACAAACGTCATAAAGTTTTCATCTTAATCTTATTATCTAATCAACCAAAAAATCCTATTATTGCTATAGGTATGTGCTTGTGTGCCTTAGATCTAATTTCAATCTTAATTCACAATCAATCTTCTTTAGATATCAATCTCTAATTTTTTTAGGTAAATTTTGTTAGAAGCTACTTTTTACTTCTATCTAAAGATTCTTATAATATTATTTTTTCTAATCTATTTTTTTCAACTTAATTTTTTTCTATAAAGGAAGTATAATTTTTTTTATTATTATTAAAAAACAGCATTAATACTAATAAAATTTACTACCTCTCTATCTTTTACATTTATTTTTTAAAAAATAATTTTTTGATATAATTTTTAAATTAGATGTTCTATAATATAATCCAATTTTTTTCTTTCATCCAATAGTTGTATTACAATACAACACAAGGAATTTATAACTTTGAATTACAATGTATAAATTATAGATAAGTGAATCACATAGCCCAATTTTGTCCATAATTCCTACAATAACATATAGATGAAAATCAATCTTAATACCATAAGCCCTATTATCATTCAAAATAAGTATGTCATAGTTTTCTTTCAAATCAAAGAATCTTATAACACCTTGTCCTACTTGTACAAAATTACATCAATTAAGAAAATATTAGATTGAAAATAAAATGATATGTTTAAATTTTAGAAGATTTCATCTTAGAGATTGTTCTCTATAACTTGATAAGGTCATTTCTTTAAATTCTTCTTTAAAAGATTATAGCAATTAAATTGGAGGGCATACAAAAGGAGTTAGATTTGCAAATCTTATTGTTATTAATGTTCCATTAAACATGTATTATTACAACTCAAAAAATGGTCAAAATCATCACCTTCTAATGAAAATTCAAACCAATCAAAGAACAATGCAAAGATCTTTAGTATATAGCCAAAATTAAAATCAAAATGAACAAGTACCATCTTTTTAAGATGTTAAGTATATAATAGTTCAAGCTGAGGCACCTTCTATATCAAATTTATTACTTCTTCAATCCAACTTAGTATAAGTAAATAACAAGAAGGTTTCTTTGGACAATGGATATTTGTCTTTTTTAGTTTTGATTAGAGGTATGAATACCAAAAAGCCAATAGACTTAATATACCTTAAAGAAGATAAAATATCATTAGATACTTTAGAAGAATTCTAGCTATTCTTTCAACCTCAATTCTAGCTATTCAAGTTTAGTAGTTAGATTTAAATTAGATTTTTTGAATGAAGCCTTTACCTTAGGAATTGATAGAAGTCAAGTTGAAGATTTTGATACATTATAAAAGAAGAAACTATCATATATCTTTTTTTACAATTCAAATATTCATCCTAAAGCATTGAAATTAGACATGATATACCTACTTATTTATATACTTCAATATAAGATTGGTATTATGGACTAGCTAATTTAATACATATAGTAGAACAAGATTGTGTTAAAATTCTAATCAACCATGATGAAAAAGAATCCAAAGATTTTAAGTTTAGATTCCAATTAGATAAAGAAGAATTGAATTTTTTTAAGAATTGTAGTATTTTATTATCAAAATATATTTTCATGTAGGATTTATAAGGCCTATAGAAATTAAAAATTGGTTGTTCATATTGTCTTGATAAAAAGAAGAGAAGAAATAAGCTCAAGGTATATATGGATTATGAAGATTTAAATAAATACATTCAAAAGGACCATTTTCTATTACCTTTTATTAGTTTTATAATAGATAATGTGGCAAGTCATAACTTATATAATTTTATGGATGCATACTTTAATAATATTAAGTATCTATAGCTTCTAAAGATTGACATAAGACTTCATTGGCATCACTTCATAGAACTTTTGTATATGTAATTTCTTTTAATTTATAGAGAGTTCTTTGAGCTTTTTAAAAAGTCATGACATATATATTCTTAGACCTTCTTCCAAAGTCTATATCAATTTTTATTGATGACTTTAATTGTCAATCATCAAAGAATGATCATCTTAAAAGCCTTCAATTATGCTTCCAATCTTACAAGAAAATAAGACTTTTCCTCAATCCAAAAAAATTTATCTGCTATGAGAATAATAAATAAATTATTAAATAATTTAATTATAATTTTTTATTACTCTTATTAATTTTTTTAAAGTTACAGCATTTTTCTGATATAATTATATTAACAAGGATGTCATAAGTAAACTAAAAATAATGTAAGAATAAATTAAATTCAATTTGAATTGTCATACATTTAATCTTTATAATTATTATAAATTCTTATGGATTAAAACATATGAATAGTCAATCCTCACAATGTATTTTGAACATAATAGTGAAGATAGTTTGGCCAAAACAATATTTCAGACTTCATTTTATGGCCATCAGCTTTAATTATGGATTTTGCTTTTAGATCAATGAGGGCCTTAGATCTTAGTTTAGAGTCTTTGAGATTCAAATGTGGAAATGTGGCTGCTACTCTTAGGTCTTAAGACAAGAGTATAAGATGTCTTTTAGGCTCATTTAGTCAAACATTTTTTTTTTTTTTTTTTTTTTTTTTTTTTTTTTGTTGATGGACAAAGCCAAGTTAATTTTTCACTATGTATTGTAAGTAAATTTGATATTTTTTTTTGATTTTTCTTCTAGTTTATAGAATCAATTCTTGAAAATTTTATTTAAAAGTAGGAAGTTATATTGGACTTTTGTAAATGTAAAAATCTTTAAATTTGGAGTTTAGTCATGAAAGAATCTTTTGATTTAGTAAAAGATAGTATATTGCCTTTGTAATTTGGTAGCTCAATTTTGGAGGATTTTTCTTCATTACTCACAAGTTAGAAGGCAATAAGATTTTTTATGTTGAAAATTGATAAATTTAAATATTTTAAAAGCTAAAAATTAGTCATATTAAAGCCATGACATGGTAGAAGTATTGAGTCTTGTGGCAAGAGGTTTATTGCCTTTGAATTCAAATGGCCAAAAGAAGGCTCAACTTTGAAGGACAAGATCAAGATGATTCAAGAAATTTAAAGGCTCAATTTTTAGGAAGATGTGCTATTTGAATTTGAGATTCTAATAAGCTTAAATTTACTAAAAGGCAATCAAAAACTAAGCCATGGTGCTTTAAATTGTGGAATGAAGTCTACTACCTTGCCAAAATAGAACATCAATTTTGAACGACAATATTGGATGCATACAACTAAGCTTAAAGATTAAATTTATAAAATAGAAGCACCTTCAATAATTCTTTTCAATAAGACTAGTTGGATGTAATTTGGAGCTTATTATTAGCCATGGTGTGTTAATTTGTGAAGATAGGTACAACGATAGGTTTTAAAGTACCAAACTCCTTTAATTCTCACTTAGATATTATTGTTAGTTCTTTAGTCATTTATTATAAATGAATCTTAGATGCAAGGTTATAAAATATGTAGATGTCAATTTGGATGAGTAATTAGATAAATAGATGATTTTTTTGGATATTACATTTCAATGAAGTCATCAATTTGGATGTGATAAATTTTGTAGATGAAAAATTGGAATGATATCTATTACATAAAATGGAGGAATGTGAATTGGATGGATATGGATTAGATGGATGTATAAAACTTAATTAAATAATAGACTAATAACTTAAATCGAATTATAATGTATAATAATTCATTTAAACTTTTTTAATTACATTATTTCATATGAAAAAGGTTAAAAACATCAAATTTGGTGCACTTAATTCTTTTCACATTTTGACGTATTTTCCAAAGAGAGCAATGGTTTTCATCTTGGTTTGAAAGCAAGAATGAGTTTTGCTTTATGTATAGGATTTCGGAATAGTATAGCTTGAGTTTAGAGCAAAGAGATCAAGTCAAGATACAACTTCCATCAAGTAAGCAACTTACCTTTACTCTCTTTTCAGAATTCTGATTTAGTTGATTAGAGGGCATCAAAAAGCCCGTGGCCGAGAGGATCCCATGAGTCTGCCAGGACTGCGGATATGTGTACGACGAAGAGACGAACTTCAAAAATGTGCCCAACGAGTTCAACTGTCTTCGTAAGTTCACCCAGCTCCCTCCCCGACTCATTCCTTACGTGATCGAAGCACGGGAATTGCTCCCCACCAGTCCATCGCAATCCCCGTGTGCATCAGTTTGGCCGGGTCCCGCCGGATTGGCTTCTGGGCTCCTGACGTCTTGTGCTTCGCTGTGGTGGTGATTGCAGCACGCGCACCTCCCCCAAGTCGAGGTTCGCCATGGCCAATTCGGCGGTGGGTGAGATGTTGGACGCCACCGAGAAGGACGTCGCCGTGTCCCGCGGCAGCGACGTGATAAAGGCTCTTTGCCGAACCAGAATTAGATTCGTCCCTCGCCGCGGGAGCTGTTTCTGTGTTGAAGCAAGAGTGTGACGTAGATTAAGGAGTTGGTGGCAGACAATTTTGATGGAATTGGCTGTATGTTTGTGTTAATACACGATTTCTATGAATTTGTAACTACTTCCAAATTTGTGAGCAGACAACTTACGTCTTCGGAGCTGCTCGCATGCTCGACGAGTGTGTGTATGCATGCGCTAGGCATTCATGAGCTTGGACGTGGATGTGTGGTCGACGATCTTTTTCGATTTGCTTGGTTTCCCCTTTCTCCGCCGTAGTGCCAGATAATGCGATCGCTACGCACTGCTCATGCAAAGCACTCTTCCACGAGTGCGGATGTCGTGCTCACAGTCCGTAAGTCCGCAAAGCTGGTGCTCACTCATGGCTGAATTTCACACCGTGGTCACTGCGGGCACGCGCCATGCGTTTTGTCTCCCTCGAACGGCTTGGTGCAATTATTTCCACGCAACGTGCGCTGGGCATCAAGTCTAACTACCTACCTGTAATCATTCGACGCGGAGTATCTGAAGGAAGTCCAACCGAAAGTTGTAAATCACTTGCTGATTGAAATGACTCGGTGGCAGACAATTCGATCTTATGATGTTTGCATCGGAGTTCGATTCGAACCGGAACGGTTCCAGAATGAAATTCTGCCTATTTGTGGGTGGCATGATTCGAGACAGTGTTTCTAGCCCTGTCCCACGGGGTAATGCACGGTTGACAGTTGCAACACCCAACCTCCACTCTCACGTCCAACATCCACCTCACTCCAAACGCTGCTTACCAGCCCATTCCCCTTACCTTGCACCCAAATGTAACAGCGAAAGTAATCACCCAGCACACTCGACCAATTTCCAACACCATTCAGCTGGAGACAACGCAGCACACAACAACCTCCACGTCCATGTTCCGACGTGCTCTGAGGGTACGTCCGTCGCATGTAAACGCTCCTCTCATCTACGATCGAGTTCGCGAACCCGCTCCCGGCTGCTCGCAAGACTTGAAAAAGAATACTCGTGGCAGGCATTCCCTACGATATCTACCACAACTCCGATCCTTCCCAGGTGCAAGTTGAACACATGTGGCTCGTCCTCGACACCATCGGTCGCTGCTTTGCAAGGTCGCCATTGTGAAGCCCACCTGCGCAACCTTGAGAGAGATCGCTTGCGATGTGGAACTGCCCACTACACATCTCTGCTTTTCTACGTCTTCTGACCCCACCAGACTTGCAGCTCGTGGGCCGCGGCAGAAAGACCCAGCGTCCTTCCTGCAAATAGCCCAATGGCCGTTCCCAGTTCTGCGCATTGACACCGCCATCGCCGACTTACTACCCACCACTCTCACACCTTCACATCCATCCAAAGAAAACGACCCCGCTTCACCCACATGTTTTCCGAAATGAGTGGCATTGCCAATCTTCCAAATTTGTTAGGCATCCACATGATTTACACCTCATCGCCGCACTACACTACTCTCCTAAATCATCGTTACATCGCTATCCACAAACTCTAGGATCCTCTACACATTGATTCACACACGTCTAGTTCCACACGTCGCTGCAGCTGGTCCCCCGGTCTAGTTCTGAATGCGGTCAGCTCCCTTCTGAGCATCCCTCTTCAAGTCGTGCGCGGTGTCGCGAGCGGAGCCACCCACGTCCTCAGCCTTGCGCTGCGCGGAGCTCGTCGCCTTGTCGGCGTTCTCCTTCAGGGAGTCGCCGGCGTCCTGCACGGCGTTTTGCGCCTTGTTGCCCAGATTCCCAGCCTCGCCACGGACGTCGCTGCCGGCGCTCTTGGCGCTGCCCTCGATTTCCCGGCCCTTGTCCGCGGCCTTGTCACCCAGCTTCTCGGCCTCGTTCTGAGCATCGCGACTTACATCCCTGGCTGTGTCCAGGGCATCGTCGGCCTTGCCCCCCAAGTAATTTCCGGCGTCCTCAAGCTTCCCCTTCGCAGCGGAAGAAACAAATCTGCAACGAGAAGTGGGCCGCGAGGAGGAAGAGTTGAGAATCGGGAGCAGGATTGGGGATTAGAGAGGTCGATAGCAGAAGAGGCGCTTTCACAGATGTAGATTATGGATGGTGATGGAGTAGGAGCGGGCGGAGCAAAGTTTTATAACCCGATCGAGAGCGTTGTTTCTGGCCGCATGCGCCCAAACACACACACGCACAAAAAGCGAACGGAGTGCGTGCAGGGTGCCAAGTGGCTTGGTTTGGGGGGTGTGGTGGTTCCAGCACATGTTAGTTTGTGATTGGGTAGTTTATGATTGCGTTTCGCAAGTCGGGTGAGGTCGAAGAGTAATAGGAATTGAGTTGTCACCTGGTCCTGGACGAACTGAAATTCGGGTGGTTCCATGCAGCTGGTCAAGTTCATCAACCCCTAACCCTTCCCCTTGATTTTGTGTCTTTGTGTTAATAAATGGTTTTGTTTGGTTTTATCTTTGAACCCCATCATCACACTTCCGAATCCCTTCTTAGGTTACTGACCCATTTTCGAGCACCCTACGGCCATTTCCCTTATAGCATGGAATATTTCTGCTCGTCCATCATCTCATGGATGACTGATCTTGACCCCTCCTGGTCAGAAATATGTGTAGTGCTTGTTAATTTTATAGCATTTTTAATCATGGAGTGAGTGTGTTTCAACTTAGGTGCCACAAGATGGAGTGAGTGTGTTCCAATCTAGGTGGCAGTTATTGATAGGTTGGGATAGAATGCAAGTTCTAGAGGACATGGATGAAGTTAATTGTTTATTGACAAGAATATTTTTAAATTGAAATTTAAGCTTAAAACAATGAATAACAAAAGAACTTGTATTACACATTATTGAAGGGATTTAAATTATATTTTATGTATATATAACGTAGTTACACAAAAACAACAAGAATAAACAAAAAAATCTATTTAAGGATCTATCAATAAATAGGATAGAATTAAATCAATAAAAATAAAATAAAATAAACTTGAAAGACATCAAATAAGCTCAAAAAGTTTAATTAGAACTTCTTTTGTGAATGAAGTAGTTACTAGTTAGTACAAAATCTATGAGATTTTTTTTAATGAAATATCAATAAAAAAAACAAATGTGTTAGAAATCTAATCAAATAGACATTCTAATGGAGTGTCTAAAGTTTGAAACCTTGGGGGGAAAAAAAAAAAAAAAAAAAAAAAAATGTATAATCAAAATGAGATTACTTATACTTTCTTACAAATTTGGATAATCAATGATAACTTTTTTTAAAGTTCCAATAGCATTCAAAGTACAATATTTAGAAAAAAATGTAAAGGTTGTAGCCACTACTGGCAATTACAACCACTTAGCCATAGACAACAATTCCAACTAAACAAAAAGATCTAATTTTTATAAGAAGTTGCAAAATAGTCTCCAATTCTAAAATAAATACTTTCATAGAAGAGAAAGAATTATTTTCTTTAAAAAATATAAAATATTTATCAATAATCTCTTAGGAATTAAAGACACAAATCTCTTCAATAATATTAAGTCTGCAATGTGTATAATCATCTAGAATAATTATTGATGAATTATTATCTAACGTTGGAATTAACTTGATTTCTAACTTTGAGACTATAAGAAGAAGTATGTCTACTTTTATAAGGTTCAATGAGAAAAAAATATATTTTAAATACTTAAACAAAAGTTGGATGATTCAAAAGCCAATAAAAAGAGAGTAGAGCAAAAGTGTGTTAAAAGGGTGTAACTAATGATACATTGCATTGACAAGATTATGAAACAATTTTAAAGGTGCCAAGAAAAACTCAAGGCTTTTATAGACACCTTAAAACAGAAATAAATGTTTTAGTAAATATCAAAATAATATGTTTGATTGTATTACAAAGATGTGAAAGGCAATAATAAATAATAATAAATAAGGTTAATGATGCACAATTAAGTTAGGTGCATTAAAAAATTAACCTTTTGGAACAAGGAAAAGGTTACTATTTTTAATAAAGTTTACAGCCTTAATTGGTACTATCAATTATAAGAAATTAATAGAAATATAGAGCATGGTTAATTTTATAATTACATGATTGATCTTGAACATTATTCATATTCTGAAAATATATATTTTTAATTATATATCATCAAAATCAAGAATAATAATAAAAACAATTGTCTATTAAAGTATACCTAAACATTAATTGAGTTTTTTCACCTTTGTACTCAAATAAGAGAATTTAAGACTATCATTTATTATTAATTGCGACAAGATATTAATTTAAAAATATATAAATAATAGTAAGACCTTACCTAGTAAATTATGGCCTTCTGAGAGATTCTGTAGCTACTAAACAACTTTTTAAAGATAATAATTTAAGATCACCATAACACCTGCAATAGATATAAATTAAAATAGAATAATTTTAAGTAAAATTTAGAAAAAAAAGGGGATAAAAGAAAAACCACCAATTTACTGATAAATCATAATAGAATTGGAATTATGCCAAAATTTTCTATTTCATACATTTTAAGGATTTTTTTCGCATACAGATTAGATATCATCAATTTAAGAAATTTATAAGCTAAATAAATCCTTATTTTATTTTATTTAAATTATCAAATATAACAAAGGATTTGATACCTAATACTAAAAAATATTGAAAATAAGCAGGTCTTAGAATAGAAGTATTTAGATTCTAAAGAAATTAGGTACAAGAGATCTCATTAATGAATTAGTTCTTGATCAATTGCAACTTTATATTAGTTCAATTAGAATTTAAACACTTAAAAACATAAAATAAAATAAAAAGTAATAGATGACTATGAACTCAACATATTGCATTAAATTAGTCTCTTTAGTAATGGTAGAAAAAAAATAAGGTCTTTATAATGTCTATATAAGTGCCAAATTAGAATACTTATTTCTTAACAAAAATAAGCACTAACATTGTTGTAGCAATGTCCATGATCCTTGATAAATTAGCTATAGGAATATGAAATCAATTTTCTATCTACCGACTACTTTGTCCTTCCTCTATATCTAGTCACTACATCATCTCAAAGTTTACTTCTTATTATGTAATTTCTTGTCATGTAACTTCTTCACCTTGTATTCTTCTATTGAACTTAACCAATTGGATTGGTAACTTCATGTATAAAAATGAATATATACAAGACAAACGACCTTATTCTTTATAATACTATAAAAGACTCTAATAGTGAAATTGAGACTTGAGTAATTACATCTTTGATCTATAAAGTCAATAATTCAGATTGACGTTTTATTTTTTTAATAAAGCTTATTTGATTGTTTAAAAAATGCTGTATTTTACACGTTTAAAATTATATATATATATACTAAATTAAAGATAACCTTTTTAATTGCAAGTAAAATATAATTGCTTATAAAAATCAAAAGCAGTTATGTTTCTTTCAAGTACAACACAAATATTTATTTTTATCAATTGTAATACGATTTATTTATGAAAAAATATAACCATTTTTTAATCAAATATATTTTAAAAAAATTTATCAAAAAATTATTAATAAATATAGTATTTTTTGGTTTTATTTAAAAATTACTATCATCAAAAAATAACTCAAATATATTTTTTTGATAACATCTATCAATGTTATAAATTTATAAATGATATTGTATTTAATCAAGAATCTTTTTTATATCAAAGTTTTAAAGGATGTTTTTAAAGATATATAAAGTGAGTATAGAATTATCTATAGTTATTTATCTTCTATTTTAAGAACAAGTAAAAGACGTGAATTAAGTATTAAAGAAATATCTATATCATTTTTTTTAATAACTTGACTTCATTAAATGAAGTAACCTTCTAATTTGGATCAAAAAAAGAATTTTACTCTCATAATTCATGATATACCATCTATTGTCATAAATATAACTAGACAACCTTTTTGCCTTTATTATTTTTTTATAATATATATATATATATGTTTTAAGACTATTTGACCTTATAAAAAGTTAAATTATCAAAAGATTAGAACTAAAATTTTAATATCATCTTCTTTCAAAATTAACTACAATCAAGAATTTATAATAGAGGAGTTTTAGATCTAAATTATAAATAAAATAAATTTTAATATTGTGTATATTATTGCAAAAAATATATTTGTAAATATACATAAGAACTATCCAGGTATTGTGCAAATGTGCTAACATTGGTTTTTGTTTTTGTTTTTGTTTTTTTTTTTAATTTTGATAATATCTATCTAAATCAAAGACCAGCTATTGATATCAAGATGTTATTAAAAAAAGAAAAAAAGAAAAATCGGATTAAATTATTATTATTATCTAAAAATATTTCAAATTTTGGCACTACCAAGATACAAAATCAACATCTAAAAAACTTAACTTAAAGACTATTATTTTAAAAACATTGTATGACCCACTTAACATTTTCAAACTTCACAATGTTAAAATTATAATAAAAACTTAAAAACAGACATGTTTTTATTTGAATAGAATAATAAATACAAAACATGTAGTACTGCAATTTTAGAATAATCTTAGTATTTGGTGATATTATTGGAAGTGGATATTATATAAGATAGTATTTCAAATAGATTATTTGAAGATAGTCCTAAAGTTATTTAGTATTGACTAAGTATTTTTTTTTTACATTATTTTAAAGATTAATTTTTAAAATAATTTATGTATAATATTATTTATTATAAAAATAAATACATAAGTTCATATTTTATTTGAAGGCTACTACTTTTTGAAATTATATTTGAATACCATCGACAAAAAAAAAATAATATCAAAATTAGCATCATTTTTCTAATACAATTATACAAAACTTAGAATTTTTAATTTCTTTAATACTAGTACTAATAAAAAATTACTTATGCTTACATCATATACTTTGAAAGATTATAATTTTTTAGATACATATTGTTCTTTAAAACAATGTTGTAATTTTATTAATTTTAAATCTTATTTTAAATCATTTTTCATTGTATCTTTTAAAAAAAAAAACTTCCTATATAATACCTTGTAAATAAGAGATAACCCAAGTTTTAATCTTCATAAATATATACATTTCTATTAAAAAAAAACCAACTTATAAAATAAATATGAATATTTCTATATACGATAGTAGTATTTGTGTATGTAATTACTATGGTAATACATTATTTTAATAATGTAAAGATGTTATTTAATTTGCCAAATGGTAATTATTTACCTTATTTTTAGACTTTTAATAAGCACAATCTTTTCAATGTTCATTTCATGCCTACATACAAAATTAAAATTATTAAAACTAAAGGATGATATCTTATATATAACATAAACTTTACATGTTTGAGGTACTATGTACATACTACATGCATAAAATTGTTATGGTGGTAACACATGCCGTGTAGGGATGACATAACACTTCATACATGGATATGGTGTTGCAGTCTCTGCTCAATCTCCACCCAATCCACACACTTTTATGCTGCACCGACTTACATTCAACTCTCCTTTCACAACAGTTACCAGATTTTGCTTGCAAAACACATGACCCATGCAAGATATACCTCTATCAATCCAACTTTGTCAATGTGGGAGGATATATTGCAGTGTGATTAGATGTAAACAAAAAAGTTATCCATAAATTTGCTAATCTTTCTTCTCAATTAATGCATAAATGTTGGAATTAAACAAAGAAACAAAGGTTTTGTCACAATTTGTGGTATTAGTTACAAAATGATAGCACCATCTAAACATACTTATGAAATGTTTTACTGCAAAATATCATATTTATTGTATTGGCACTCAACCTTAAAGAGACTCATTTGAAGGAATCAAGTATTACTAATGATTTTTAACAAAATAATAATAATAATAATAAAAAATTATTGCACTACTTCTTAATTCAAAATTTTAAAATTTACATGAATTTGAAGAAAGCGTGGTTCCAACTAAAACTTATTCCACTTGTTGATATGACGAGTTAATTCCACTAATATACAGAAATTATATATATATATATATATATATATATACACACACATAAAATAAAATAAAATTTTATAAAAAATAAAACAAGATAATATGTTATGCTCATATCAAAATAAATTTCTATATATATATATATATATAAGTTGCTTAATTTGTAACCTTAGGAGATAAATTTTTTTATAGATAATATAAGGCTTAAAAAATTTAATTGGCATCATGCAATTTTATAATTTCAAAGTGCTTTGAATAATATTTCGAGGTGCTAAGATGTTGCCAACGCTTGCAACATTAATTAGTTGTCTTTTACAATGACAAATTAGCTGTTATTTGATTGTTTGTTTCGTAGCTTGTTTGGTAATATTGACATCTTGTTGATTTAAATGTATTGGTGCTTGGTGCTGCAAGTTCAAGTAATTGAAAGCCAATCTATGTTATAAAGGTCCAACCAAGATTGCCATTGTTTCTTTTTTTATATTATCTTTTCAATTCTTATCAAATAAACTTTTGAAATTAGGAATTTTCACTCACATTTTGATGTTGTGTACTGAACGGTCTTCATGAAAAAAATTGAGTGAATATAACTCATTTTCCAATAGTAATATCATAGATTGATGTTTGGTTTACATTTGTGTTGTGAACATAACTAAGACTACATTGTAAGATGGTATTGTTTTTAATATTCTAAACCATTTATATACACTAATACTTGGATTTTGGTAGAGAAAAATTTCATGGAATTTGTATCCACATAACCTCAACAATGTTTTAAAACATTATTGCCTGTGCATAGAAATAATAATTCCGAAATTCCAAATGCAATGCAATGCAATGCAAAAAAAAAAACTTCTCTTGTTGGATCTACATTCACCTATTATAAACCTTATATGCATAAAATATGATCTCTATTTTTAATGTTTTTTGAGTTATTATACAAAACACAAGGTTATGAATTTAAAATATATTAATTTAAAATATATTAAAAAAATTATTGGATGATTAGATCTTAGTAATTTCTTGAATATCTTTGCTAAAATCAATAACCAATTAAATTTTATTGAGTTATAATGGATCTGAATGCTCACAAAGCAAAACACTAACTTAAAAAGAGTATATTTTAAATTTAAGGTAATATTTTTGAAAAACTAAGAGATAATCATAATAAATGTAGTTGCTAAAAATGAATAGATTGATTGAATATTGATTGTAAAAATAGAATAATTTTATAAATTTTATATTATATATGTTTCTAATATTTTAGTAGTATTTGTAAAGATTTGATAAAATTTAGTGGAATGAGATATTGATAAATAACTTTTCTTCTTAAGTATGTATTTTATTTTAAAAGTTTGGTTTTCAAAAATAAATAAAAAAATATTTGGCTAAAATTTGATTATCCATTTTATTTTATTTGACAAAAATAAATTTATTATAATTAAGAAATCATTCCAAATTTTTAAAAAACTGAAAATTTTAAATCATAAAATACCATTGCTATTTATGTATGAAAACATTTCATACAATTTTTTTATATAATTCACAATTCAAATAAATCTGGTCAAACATGACATTGTTTTGCTCACAAAAAATATAGCCAATTAATAAAAGTCAAATATGCAAAGATATTATATAGTACAATAAAATTTTATTGTCATATATGTAGCTTTTTCATCCATAAGACGTATAAAACTTTTTAGGCTTTTTTACATGATATGCTCTTACAAAGTTTATAGTGTCCCTTTCGGTAATTATGGTGTTTACAATGTGTTTACATTACTAATTACCATGTCTCTCTTGCTTCAACTCTAGTCTGACTTGCACAGGGTTGACACCAGGATATATATACATATGTCACTTTTTGGGTGATCACTCTACTATTTATTCAAAAAAATTATATATAAAAACATGAGTTTTTCAAAATTAGATAAATCAAATAAAAAAAATTAAACTTTATTACAATTATTCTATCCATTTTTTCCCTTGTTTCTATATTGTTATTTGTGTTAAATGGCTTGTTCCATGACACCATGTGAGAACTCCCAATAAGGTAGCCAATCCATTTCCAATAACTTAAGTATTTCAATATATATCCAATAAGTGTAAAAATGAAGTAAAAAAATCTTCATATAAGAAAATAGAGATCAAGAATATTCCAAGTATTTTCACACAATTTGGCCCAAAAATAGAATTTATATAAGTGTTCTAGCTAAATCTTTTCTTTGATCCATTTCCTACATATAGGGCAACTTAAGTCCAACTAGTGGTGGGTTACAAAATTGAAAAATCTAACTTTTACAGAATTGAGAAGTGACACCTAATTATACTATTATTCCACCCCAACCAATCAACAACTACCACCTATATCAAAACACACCCACTCCATCCTACAACATTTTTTTGTGACCAAAAACGTTGTAAACCAGCTGGATCTATTTCCGACCAAAATATGTCAGACCTGATGGACAATGGGTCGTCAGACTTACGGAAATGGGGGTGGTCGACAATCATACTCCGAAAGTACTATTACGAATCAATCTTCTCGACAGGATGCTGAACACACCCCAGAATCGAAGTTTTGAGCATCTGACAAGGTGGTCGTTTTGTATTGAATCAAAGCGCAGTTCTCAGTTCATTCATCAAGCGCTGTTTTCATTTCATGGTGGCCACCAGAACTGAATTGGTGCTACGGAGTTACGACAATGACGATGGGTACACACTAGCGCTGCTGTGTACGCTTGTGTGTACGATGAGTACACTCTAAGCGTCATTCTCCAGGTAAAAATTGCAGCCCTGGTTTCGTTTCGGTTGCAGTCTCCATGGGTCGTGGATTCCTGGTCTTGGCATGGATTCGCAAAATTTGAGAATTGATTATTGTCCTTAAAGCTGCGGTGTTCCATTCCATAGGTGACAGCATTAGAGAGTTTTGCCACATGCTTGCTGTGTCTAAACTTGTCGCACACTTCCATCATCAGTAGTCCTTGCCGCCCATGTCACACTGTCTCTATGATTCCGAGATGTCAGCCACTAACAGTGCTATCAGTGCTAGTTACGTTCTAACTCTGTATCAATTTGAAGTACAAGTTTTGTCGTAGGATCGAGGTACTACACTTGAAACTTGCTGAAATTCATTTGTTGAAGTACTCTGCCAATCCATTGCTGTGTCTGATGGTTATCAAAAGCTTGATTCTGCAATGACATAACTTTAAGTACACACACGAGATCGGTGCCAACTTATACAGTGCACAGATCCTCAGAACAAAACTCAACTTGCAAATTCTATTCGGTTCCAAATTGTGAGTCCATGCAGAGATTTGCCTTGCTAGAATTTGGCTGAAGTCGAGAGGAACCAGAACCAAGACAACGAACCTAGGTTGTTGGGGAAGGTATTCCGTTACGATGGATTTTGCGAAGAGCACGGTTGCGAGAATTTCATTCGAGGGGCTCAAACCTGAAGATGGACTTTCCAACCAGAGAGTCGAAATCATTGTGTTTCTAGCGGCAATGTTCATCTTGCCCTTTGTGTTGCTGAAGCTAATGCGGCGGCCAAAGTTGAAGCTACCGCCATCGCCACCGGCCTATCCTATCATTGGGCACTTGCACTTGCTTGGCAAGCTGCCACATCATAGCATTGCAAACATAGCGAAGACGTATGGGGAGATTTACTCCCTCCGCTTAGGGTCGGTGCCTGCCATTGTGGTCACCACGCCGGAGATGGCCAAGGAGTTCTTGCTGACTCATGACAAAATCTGGGCGTCACGCACTGTCCGTGATGTGTCGGGCTACTACCTTTCCTACAACCACACAGGTCCACTTCTCTTCCAAAGCGTTCCCCAAAAATCTCATGTTATGGCTGTTTCACTTCAATGCTAACATTCGTCATTTGCTAATTGGAAATGGGTTCAGGTATTGCGTTTGCTCCATTTACTCCCGTATGGCGCAATCTCCGAAAAATTTGTACGTCGGAGCTATTTACGCAAAAAAGAATGGAAGCCTCGCAGGGCGTGCGCGACGTGGAAATGCAGTGCATGATCAGGTGAGATATTCAAATTTTCAGTCCAGATATGAGTCGTGAAATTTACAATGAATGATCTTTTGTATAGTCTGTTTCACTTTTTGTACAAAAAAGTTCACTAACCCTGGCAATTCATGCCATGTTCTCTCAAGGAGCATCCTGAATGACGCGAACCAAAGACGGCTCATAGACCTGAAGCTGGAGGTCAATGCTCTAACGGCAAACGTGGTAACACGAATGGTGCTCAACAAGCGGTTCATGAGGTGCGTAGACTCCACAGCCGAGGAGGAATCTAGAGCGCAACAGTTCAAGGAAATCATGAAGGATCACTTCACCCTCCAAGGCATATTCATGATCGGAGACTACATCCCATGGTTACGTCCCTTGGACCTCGGCGGCAAGGAGAAGCGCATGAAAGCACTTCGAAAGCGCCTGGACGCCTTCTTAAACGAGATCCTCGACGACCACGAAGTCAAGCGAGCAAAGGGACCAATCGCGGAGGAGGACCAAGATATGATTGACGTCCTCTTGAATGAAATGCACCAGCAAGACCCCAACGAACCACACAAAATGGACTTAAACAACATCAAGAGCACCATCCTAGTATGTCAATTCTGCCCTTTCCATCCCTAATTCCACCCCAAATCTCTCCAAAATCAAAACACTACACGTCAAATTCTAATTTCACCATCCCTACCATGTGCTCAGAATATGTTCGCCGGAGGAACAGACACTGCAACGATCACTATCGAATGGGCCATGTCTGAGCTGCTCCGAAATCCACCCATCATGGCCAAGCTCAAAGCAGAGCTCGACGCCCTGATCGGCCAAGATCGGCGAGTGCGCGAGACAGATGTGCCCAACCTCCCATACCTGCAAGCCATCACCAAGGAGACCTTCCGTCTGCACCCAGCGGGACCTCTCCTCGTCCCCCACGAATCCACCCACGACTGCGAGGTGGCGGGGTATCGAATTCCCGCTGGCACTCGCTTGTTTGTCAACATCTACGCGATTGGGCGTAGCAGCAAGGCGTGGGATCGCCCGCTCGAATTTGACCCAGAGAGGTTCATGACGGGGCCGGACGCGAGCGTCGACACCAAGGGCAAGCACTACCGTCTGCTGCCGTTCGGAACGGGGCGTCGAGGGTGCCCGGGCATGTCGCTCGGCCTTCTCCTTGTGCAGTTCACGCTGGCCGCGCTTGTGCACGCATTGGATTGGAGTCTGCCCCCTGGCATGGATCCCGAGGACGTGGACATGACGGAGGCCTGTGGCTTGAAGGTGCCCCGGGAGCACGCTCTGTCTCTGAATGCAAAGCCTCGTGCTGCAGCTCAATTCTACTGAGTGACGACCCACCTCACCCAGAACGGCTTTTTCTGAATCCTCGGTGCGTTTTTCACACATTAGAAAGGGAAGTGTGTGTTTCTGCACCCCTTCTATTCCAGCTAGAGTTCTTCATCTGTGGGGTGTGGACAGATTAGGTGTGTAACCAGGTGCTGTGTCGCTGCTTGAAGAGAATGAAACACCGCCGTAGGTGTTCACCGTATTCCATCCCAGCAAATGGAATGCCGGACTCTTCTTTTCATGTTTTTGGTTTTGGTTAATTTCAGTTTGAGAGAGAGGCTTGTTGGGAAATGTAATTTGATGTCTTGGGGTTATGTTAGCAGGTTTTAAGGTTAGTGTGGTCATTCCAAGCTCTATACATTGTTCAAAGTTTGGTATAAATCTAACGGTAATCTTGTAGAAAAGTTTTTATTAAAGTTTTTAAATATTAATTAAAGAAATATTGTTTGGATAAATTTTAAGCTTATAGTAAAGGAAAATTTAATTTTTATGAAGGAATAAATGTTTCACTACATGAAAAGATTAATGTTTGTTGTAAACTTAAAAATTTGTAAAAACATTAAAAAAAATAAAAATAAAAAATAAAACAAACAAACAAAAACAAACACATTAATTTTGCAAGAGAAGAAGAAAAACAAAACAAAAAATAATAATAATAATAATAAAATAATATAATAGTTTAAAAAAGTATTTCAACCTTTGAATCAAAATACCACAAGACAATTAGAAAGAGAGAATAGACAAGTGTGCAAAGTGTTATTTTTATATACAAAAAATCTAATGCAATTATACAACTAAATATTATAAGAGCTAGATGATAAACAAGAAAGTTTACTATAAATAAATGAAGACTTACTTAATATAACATATTTAACAAAAATTCTAATAACTAACTTTAATAACAAAACAAGTGATAGAATGATCTATTTAAAAGAATTACAAAATAAATAATATATTGTACTAGTAACAAATTTGAACCAAAGGTCTAAGAAAAAAATGTTAAAATAGAATAAAAGAGTATTTTAACTTGAAGAAAATATTTAAATATATTAAAAAAATAAAATTTTAATTATAATATAAAAGATGTTATAATCAATGATATCAATTGATCTAATGAATAATTACATCTACTAATATAGATTTAAAAATATACACAAAATATATATTAGTATATTCAAGCATGAGTAATATGTTGTATCAAATATAATCTTAAAATTTAAGTGTGTATGCATTCTAAATTCTACCTTGAAGATATTATTCTTTGGTTTTATTTTTGTGCATATTAAACAACTTGCAGGCATAGTTCATTTATTTGTAGACAAGTTTTTACACAAGATATCATATATAGCACAATATCTTGAGACATGTAGACTTGATTAGAAATATATCATTAATAATATTAAGAAGAATATATAATTGTCATTTAGATTTTTTTTTTTTTTTTTTTTTTTTTTTTTTAACTTCACAAAACAAAGAGTATTACAAGTTACTCTAATTTGGTACAATACATAGCAAAAAAATTGACTAATCTTAGTAAAAAGAGAAGTAAGCATGAAGTCTTCAAAACTATAATAGAGGCATTGGAGCCATAATTGCACAAGATCTTCTAGTCTTATTAGCAATAATGACCAAACCACTTGGATAATTCAACTCAACAAAGAATCTTCAAAAAACAAGAAAAAAATTAATTAAATTATAATCCCAGCTTTATAATTGACTTTGCACCATTCTTAGAACTTAAAAAAAAAAAAAAAAAAAAAAAAAAAACCTACTAGAAGAGTTTTTTTTTTTTTTTCTTCTTCTTCAAAAAAGAACTTACATAGTTGATTTTGGTGCTATTAAACACATGAAAAATAAACAATCTTGATTTGAGCAAGCATCATAACAATTACTGACATAATACATGAAGAAATAGCACTAAAACTTTCAATAAAACCAAGTATTGGTCTTTGTAAAAAATCAATAAGCAGAAAACAACTCAAAATTTTGTTTTGTATTAATTTCAATTTGTGGATAAGTTGATCAATTGGAAATCATTTACCACATTCATATATATGATTATTTTCAAACAACTTTGCTTAGTAGACAAAATTTTCTTGTTATTTTTAAAGACAAAATATTTATATATATATATATATATATAAGTTTGTATATTTTGTAAAAATTAAATAAATAAGAATAAAAATTGACATGTTTTCTAGTTTCAAATACTTTATACTAAATACACTGCACACAGATTCTAAGAATCTATAATAAAATAAAAGATTCAACATGAACTCCCGACTACACGAACAAACATCCTAAACAAATGAATAGTCATTGTCTTGATTTACACAAGCATGTCCATGATTATATAGGTTATTTGGATAAGCCAAAAAACTAAAAAAAGAATTAATAATCACTTCATTTCAATGTTTAATATTACGTTGTAAAAGGATTTGGGGGGAGGGGGGGGGGTTACCGATTTTATCAAGTGTGTGAAACAACATGATACGTTATGAACTGCGTAAAATAAATCCAATAAGACAGTGCTACCCAACCATGGACCTGAATCCACAAAATTTGTCCACCCTGAAAACTGAAATGCACCGTGAAAGTCACATACGCCAGCTCAACTAATTGCTGGTACAAAGTGAAAAACCGAATCAAGGGGAAGGGTTAGGGGTTGATGAACTTGACCAGCTGCATGGAACCACCCGAATTTCAGTTCGTCCAGGACCAGGTGACAACTCAATTCCTATTACTCTTCGACCTCACCCGACTTGCGAAACGCAATCATAAACTACCCAATCACAAACTAACATGTGCTGGAACCACCACACCCCCCAAACCAAGCCACTTGGCACCCTGCACGCACTCCGTTCGCTTTTTGTGCGTGTGTGTGTTTGGGCGCATGCGGCCAGAAACAACGCTCTCGATCGGGTTATAAAACTTTGCTCCGCCCGCTCCTACTCCATCACCATCCATAATCTACATCTGTGAAAGCGCCTCTTCTGCTATCGACCTCTCTAATCCCCAATCCTGCTCCCGATTCTCAACTCTTCCTCCTCGCGGCCCACTTCTCGTTGCAGATTTGTTTCTTCCGCTGCGAAGGGGAAGCTTGAGGACGCCGGAAATTACTTGGGGGGCAAGGCCGACGATGCCCTGGACACAGCCAGGGATGTAAGTCGCGATGCTCAGAACGAGGCCGAGAAGCTGGGTGACAAGGCCGCGGACAAGGGCCGGGAAATCGAGGGCAGCGCCAAGAGCGCCGGCAGCGACGTCCGTGGCGAGGCTGGGAATCTGGGCAACAAGGCGCAAAACGCCGTGCAGGACGCCGGCGACTCCCTGAAGGAGAACGCCGACAAGGCGACGAGCTCCGCGCAGCGCAAGGCTGAGGACGTGGGTGACTCCGCTCGCGACACCGCGCACGACTTGAAGAGGGATGCTCAGAAGGGAGCTGACCGCATTCAGAACTAGACCGGGGGACCAGCTGCAGCGACGTGTGGAACTAGACGTGTGTGAATCAATGTGTAGAGGATCCTAGAGTTTGTGGATAGCGATGTAACGATGATTTAGGAGAGTAGTGTAGTGCGGCGATGAGGTGTAAATCATGTGGATGCCTAACAAATTTGGAAGATTGGCAATGCCACTCATTTCGGAAAACATGTGGGTGAAGCGGGGTCGTTTTCTTTGGATGGATGTGAAGGTGTGAGAGTGGTGGGTAGTAAGTCGGCGATGGCGGTGTCAATGCGCAGAACTGGGAACGGCCATTGGGCTATTTGCAGGAAGGACGCTGGGTCTTTCTGCCGCGGCCCACGAGCTGCAAGTCTGGTGGGGTCAGAAGACGTAGAAAAGCAGAGATGTGTAGTGGGCAGTTCCACATCGCAAGCGATCTCTCTCAAGGTTGCGCAGGTGGGCTTCACAATGGCGACCTTGCAAAGCAGCGACCGATGGTGTCGAGGACGAGCCACATGTGTTCAACTTGCACCTGGGAAGGATCGGAGTTGTGGTAGATATCGTAGGGAATGCCTGCCACGAGTATTCTTTTTCAAGTCTTGCGAGCAGCCGGGAGCGGGTTCGCGAACTCGATCGTAGATGAGAGGAGCGTTTACATGCGACGGACGTACCCTCAGAGCACGTCGGAACATGGACGTGGAGGTTGTTGTGTGCTGCGTTGTCTCCAGCTGAATGGTGTTGGAAATTGGTCGAGTGTGCTGGGTGATTACTTTCGCTGTTACATTTGGGTGCAAGGTAAGGGGAATGGGCTGGTAAGCAGCGTTTGGAGTGAGGTGGATGTTGGACGTGAGAGTGGAGGTTGGGTGTTGCAACTGTCAACCGTGCATTACCCCGTGGGACAGGGCTAGAAACACTGTCTCGAATCATGCCACCCACAAATAGGCAGAATTTCATTCTGGAACCGTTCCGGTTCGAATCGAACTCCGATGCAAACATCATAAGATCGAATTGTCTGCCACCGAGTCATTTCAATCAGCAAGTGATTTACAACTTTCGGTTGGACTTCCTTCAGATACTCCGCGTCGAATGATTACAGGTAGGTAGTTAGACTTGATGCCCAGCGCACGTTGCGTGGAAATAATTGCACCAAGCCGTTCGAGGGAGACAAAACGCATGGCGCGTGCCCGCAGTGACCACGGTGTGAAATTCAGCCATGAGTGAGCACCAGCTTTGCGGACTTACGGACTGTGAGCACGACATCCGCACTCGTGGAAGAGTGCTTTGCATGAGCAGTGCGTAGCGATCGCATTATCTGGCACTACGGCGGAGAAAGGGGAAACCAAGCAAATCGAAAAAGATCGTCGACCACACATCCACGTCCAAGCTCATGAATGCCTAGCGCATGCATACACACACTCGTCGAGCATGCGAGCAGCTCCGAAGACGTAAGTTGTCTGCTCACAAATTTGGAAGTAGTTACAAATTCATAGAAATCGTGTATTAACACAAACATACAGCCAATTCCATCAAAATTGTCTGCCACCAACTCCTTAACCTACGTCACACTCTTGCTTCAACACAGAAACAGCTCCCGCGGCGAGGGACGAATCTAATTCTGGTTCGGCAAAGAGCCTTTATCACGTCGCTGCCGCGGGACACCGCGACGTCCTCCTCGGTGGCGTCCAGCATCTCACACGCCGCCGAATTGGCCATGGGGAACCTCGACTTGGAGGAGCTGCGCGTGTTGCAATCACCACCACAGCGAAGCACAAGACGTCAGGAGCCCAGAAGCCAATCCGGCGGGACCCGGTCAAACAGATCCACACGGGGATTGCGATGGACTGGTGGGGAGCAATTCCCGTGCTTCGATCGCGTAAGGAATGAGTCGGGGAGGGAGCTGGGTGAACTTACGGAGACAGTTGAATTCTTTGGGCACATTTTTGAAGTTCGTCTCTTCGTCGTACACATATCCGTACACGATCCTTTTGGTCACGGGCTTGTCGCTGCCCTGCGCCAGAGGGGCGGTGGAGGTTTTGACGCCCAGTGGTATCTCCTTGCCGCTCAGTCCAGGGGGAGAGTGGGGAGTGTTGGGTGCGTTCTGCCTGCCCGTGATGCCGGGCTCCACTTTGCCCTCCGCCTTCTTCACCAGCGACGCTTTCTTGAACGCAACTACACTCGGTCAACACGGTCATCACATCAGCCTGATCTTACTGGTTTTTTGGTTTTAGTGTTTAATTCGTCGCAGGACGCTCATAGGTTCGCTGGGTAAGAATGTTTAACACACTCAGGATACTTTTAGGATGTTTGCCAGACGCATGGAAATCAGGAACATTAGTGTGAAGTCTTTGTGCCTTTGTGACGAAGGCGGTCGAAGTTTAGATAAGTTTACTTGCATTGTCATATCTGATCTGCGTTCGAGGCTCACCGTTTCTGAATTGCACGTTTGTTAGCGGCTTGAGTTTTGAACCATTTGCCGCCATCGGAGCTGTCACTGGAGTCCCCATATTGATCCGAGCATGGATAGCAGATGCCTTGGTGTCTTAGTCTTAAGCTTGTGAAATTTGAACGGAAGATGCAGTTGCAAACTGTTGTTAGTGCTATAAATCAGAATCACGTCAGTGTAGAAGTTAGTGCTAGCAGCGGAGATTGATCTTTGAATGATAAGCTGCGAATTAGTGGTAATATAGCATGCGCGAGCGTCGCACTAGTCGTGAATGGGCGGATGCGAATGGAAAACGGAACTAAGGTTGCACCAGACAGCCTGACGAAGTGGACTGATGTTGCCGCGTGGCGAGGATGATGTCGCGGCTGTGAGGTTTAGAAGCATGGGAATCACGTTTTCTATCATGAGAAGTTACTAGTGCCATCATCTCCAAAGCGTATGCAGGAGTTCAAATCTAATTGCGGAGAAGCATTTCCACCTTTGAATTTGTGCACACAATCCACATGCAGGGTTGTGGGTCCGAAAACTTTGCTCCACAAGATGAACCATTCTTCTTTTCTCCGCTTCAAAGAATTGATTTCGTTTGAGTGTCGTCATAGTACCCAAACTATTCTTTTGAATAGTTTTGCTGAAAAGGCTGGTAGGCAATCGGTTCACAATAAGGCGATAAATATCCTGGCAAGAGAAGCTATGAAAGTTGGGTGGTAATGTTCATGACGTGAGACATGCATGCGCATAGCGATGAACCGAAATCCTACAGAGAACCCCAGTCTGTTCAACACTTTAATAGATGAAATAGTAACGGTAGTTCTAACGACGAATTTTAGGGGCGATTGAAAATGAAATGCTCGAGTAAAACGCAACTCCTAGCTTTCACAAAGAGTATGGGCACAGTTAAACTTGTAGGAGTTGGTATTCAACAGTAAGTTTCTTGTAACAGGAATGGCGGTGTTTGCACAAAGGCCACCATCTTTATTAAGAACAATGTCAGACGTTGAATAACATGCAGCAGACTTTTCTTCACACGCTGACGGAAAATTGAGGGTTTTCAGTTTCAGCTGCACCACAAAGCTTAAAACTTCTTTTTTCTGATCTTATCCAGCTACTTACAAGGCAGCAGTATCCGTGGCTGCTTCAGACCTGCGACACCACTAGTCTTGTATGATGGGAGAAAAAATGACGTCTACCAGACTAAGCGTATACCTAATTAATTAGGTGAATGTTGATCAAGCGTACCTCTTGGGTGCTTCTGCTAGCAATGATGCAAGCCCCTGCTTCTCCTCCACAATATCTTTTTTGTCACCAGACTCAATCACAGTGGGAGGTAATCGTGAGCTGAGAATACGCAGCTCGCTATCTCCACGTATCTCAAGCACTTGAGGCATCCCATCGCTGCAGCCTTTCGATAAACCAACGTCCACACGGATCACCTTGTTGTCACATGCACCATTAAGACCTATCGGTTGTTGAATCGTGTGCCCGACCACCATCCTCTTGGCTCCATCTATTGACCCTAAGCATCTTTTTAGAAGATCGCAATCACATTCGCTTTCCTTCACGTCAGAATATTTTCGTAGCCAAACGAGTGCATTGCCACCGTGCAAGTAGCGAGGACCCCTCCACCCCTTGGTGCCCAGCATCCACTCGCTCACCTGCACCACATATACCGTAGTGAGAAGCTATGAATAGATTGCGAAGTGCTTCTGTCTAAACCCTCATGAAAATTAGTCACAAGAGCTGACCTCTTGGTTGATGCGTTCGAGTCCATGTTCAACGTGGACAGGCAGTAGCCCGCCGTGGACAAAGACCGAGCTCCCAACAACTAACACTGTCGGATGTTTTGCTAGGAACCGTGAAGCAAGGGGACCACCAGGTCTCAATGCCGCAATCCGAGCTCGCAAACCAGCTGAATAAGAGTCTGAAATGTCACGATATATATCTGCTTCTTTTCCGAGACCTGCGCACTTCTCCTTCAAGACGTTGCCTAAATTGAACCAGTGCGCCCAGCGTTGAAACTCGTCTAGCCCAAGAGGAGTGGCGTAGCGAAAATCGCCCTCTATGTTCATGATTTCGTGGTTTCCGTTCATAATGTGAACATTCCCTCCTACTTTTTGCGCCTCTCCTCGCAGCTTTTCCAGCAGATAAATAACTTTGATCTCTTCACCACCTCTGTCCAACAAGTCTCCCACCTACAGAAATAAGAAAATGATATGAAGGACACAGCTTTCTTGTAAACCTAATCGATTGGCTCTAGAAAAAATATGGTACAGCCTTGAAATTCACACATTGATAAGCAGTGCGAAGTCAAATTACACTGAAGATCCAACACCTACCTGGACAACAACAGTCTCACCACCGATCCAGTGGTCATTCTCGTCGATTACTTCAGCAACATGCAAGGCTGCCCGTGCTTTCGCTAAATCCCCGTGGATGTCGCCTACGGCAATCAAGCGCTTGGGGGCCGGCAGCCATGTCTGAAGCCCTTTCTCCTTGAGAACAATCGGAGGAGCTCCATCCAGCTTTGTGAAGGCTGAGCCAACTGCATTCGGATCAACGGAGGGGGCCTCCAGCCTCTTGAGGACCTGCCCTCCAACCACATAGTCTACGAATGTATCTACAAAGGAGGAGAACAGGGAAGGGACTAGTTTGCACAAGGCAGGCTCTTCGTCCACATGCTGCAGGTGGCGTAAAGTTTCTGCCACCGCAGGCATGGCTTGAGATACTTGTGCGCAGGCTGTCGAACTACAAGCTCTTCACCATTACACAACAGACCCACTGCAAATTGGGATGGGGAGATTTAGAGAATCCTACTCTCTAGAAGCAACTATGCTCCTCGAACAAATTCTGCAATTCTAGACACACACGAGTGTCGCTATTACCGAGAAAAGCACGGCTAGAGGAAATATTAGACCTAAATGCTGGAAATACTGTTCGAGGTGCAATAACTGGAACGAAAAGAAGTAAATAAGTGAATTTTAAAATTCAATTTCTCATGAACTCAGAAACCAGGTTTCTTGACTGTTTCGGCCTGTAAAAAAGAGAAAAACTTTTTTAATGGCCTTCTCTGAAACTAAACCCTAACTGCTATGCAAAACATATTTTTGACGAGAGCCCAGCAATCAAAAATTACACCTCCGATAGTCGCGATCCAACAAGAGAATTGACGAGAAGAAATTGCTTGCAACTCTTTCACAGACGGAGTTCCAGACAAATTTCCTCCAGAATGAAAAAGATATGCAGATGAAACTCAATGTTTGCCGAATGCAGTGGACGGAGCTCCATACACACGAAGTCCACTACTCTGCGGACATTATATGAGCCCGCGGCCACAAGGGGCTTAGAGACGATGCGCAGCTGCTAATGAGCCTAAAGGCGAACGGATTTCATCTCAAAGGCGACGGTCGAAACAGAGAAACATGAAGAGAGAGGGCGAGGCATCGCGAGAATTTACCTCAGCACTCACAATCTTGAGTTCAGTGAAGTGAAAGCCGTTAGATCTTCACTGCAACTAATTGAGGATTGCTCCAAAACACAAAAGGGCACATGTTAACACGCAGAATATACGAAGATCAGACGCAACTGAAGTCTGAGAAACATATGAGCAGGACATGTGGTTTACTGTATCTTCAACCGCCTTTCATCCCAAAGGACTGATTCTCAATCGAGGATTGTGACATTCACCTGAACATCGTCTGCATAAAACGATAAGTTCTGTTTGCCACCTAAATTTTGCATTCTTTTGGCCACTTTTTAAATGGTCTTTTTTTTATCAGGGGTATTTTAAGTTATGTGCACCTTAAATCTTTACAGTAGTCGTAATGAAGGAATGAAAAAGTATTGAACTCGTTACGTCTTTTGAACAGGTGTTCGTTCAAATTGTTCTCTGAAGAAAATCTCAAGCTGGCGTAGCGAGTCAAAAGGAACTGAACATATCATTTGGCAACAGCCTTTCACATTGCCCAAAATTCATAGCTTCAAAATAGGCTATGCAAATTCCTGATAGTCAACAAGGCGTGCCAAATTGTGGGGATGAAATGCTTCAGGGATTGAAGCAGGAACACATGAGACACTATGGTGCCGAAAGTTAATCACCAACATTCAATCCATTTCGGTACATTTCACAAGGAAATTAGTCAATCACGAGTCAAAAGCAGATGGTAAAACTAAGGCCTCAATAACAACGCCAACATCGGCTTACGGGGAAGAAACACAATGGCCATTTAACCAGATTTGCCTAATGCAACCCTGGACCCCAAGACAAGCGAGCGCTTCTCACTTCCTTGCTGGGGTTCTGGCCTTCGATTTCTTCTTGCTGACACCAGCCTTAGCCACACGCAAGCTCTTGTGAACTGCAGCCAATCTGGCCAAAGCGGCAGACTTCAAATCGGCCCTGTAATCATTGGTGGCGACCTAGACCCACAAACAATCTCATACATGTCAGTAAACTGCAACGAAACAATTCCATGAAGTAATACTTTTTTTAATCAGCGTAGGAGAAAGACTGTCAAGTGATGATTCACCGTCAGTGAACGAAAAACACTTAACATTAAGTCATCAAATATACGGTTATTACCTGGTTGACTACAGTCTTAGCCATTTTGCGAAAATCCTTCTTCAAGAGGGAGTTGTGAAGCGCCTTAGCGGGCTGATTCCTCTTCTTCGTCTTGGTGGTGGTCAGGGTCACTGAAAGCCCCTCATTGGGAGCAATGGCCACAGTTTTCTTGTTTGCCAACCCTGAAAATCAACCATTTTAGAGATGATCCGAAGAGAAGGTGACGAGCACCACACTATAACGTAAAGAAAAGATAAGAGTGTACCTGAGTACTTGAAGGTGTTCAAGTTGTAAAGGTTGTTGGGCTCTGAGCTGAACTGAACACTGTTGTTATTATTTCCATTTCTCTTCACCAAGAACCTGTTGCTGTCCTTGACCAACAACCAGATCAAGTCATCTGATACAGACGCCATTCTGATGCACAAAACAAACACTTCTCCAGAACGTAAGAACACTCAATCACTACCTCAACCTGAATTTAAAACGACTGTTCGAAGTGACAGAATAAAAAACCACTACAGCAGATTCTTCTTGAAGGATTGACAATAAAACCCTAAAATGATGTATTCTACACATTCACAATATTGAAACGGAGTAGACATTCAACCCATCTCATATTACCCCTCCCAAGCATCCAAGATAACAGATGGATTACATGTAAAAACAAAAGTAAATGACGCATCAGAAAAACTGCAGCCTGACCTAAATGAAGAACTTGAAGAAACAATAATTATTCAGCGGAAAAGTAATGCGAGCGTTGAAATGAAGTGGCAAAAGCACGAATAATCGAACCCTCCAGAAAAAGAATAAGCTTAAATCACCAGATAATACCCCAAAACTAAACGATGCAGGGGACACAAAGGATACAACTCGCAGATGATTTTCAAAACATAAAACTCAGCTACGCTTGAAACGAAGAGAGAGAAGAAAGAAAGAAAAAACCAGAAACTAAACATCTGATGACACAGCTCCGTGGTAAGGACCGGATTGCCTCCGCAAAACCTAGAACCCTAATCACTTTCCACAACACCAAAATCAAGCCAAGGCACCATAAGACGCGATTCTCATGTCATTTTGAAGCGCAGGTTGGGGACGGGGCGACGAAGAGGTAAAAGGGGGGAAGTACCTGAAGGTTCAAGGGAGGCGTGAGTACTGCGGCAAGGCAGCGATGGAGCGCGTGCGTGCAACGCAGCAGGTGCACAATTGCGAAGAGAGAGAGAGCTCTCGAGACAGGCGGCTGCCCTAAGAAACACCTTGTGCCAAATAATGAATGAATGATAAAAGTATTTCATCCTTTTCTAAGAGTTAGGTTCGACATTCATCCTCAACCCTTGTTGGGCTCAAAACACTGTTTCTTTACACCATTTGGTCCTATAATTTCACACTTAAATGTGTTTTTGGAAAACGTTAGGCATGTACTCGATGATTTAGGTGGCGTAATACAATACCAACAACTGTAAGATTTGAAAAACATGAGTAAAACAATTATATTACATTATGAGTACAATTTTAATGCAAAATAATTTGAGATTTTTTTCAGTCACATTCATACATAAAATAATTTAATCAGCATCCAATCTGAGTAATTTTGAATATTTTTAAAAAATATATTGAAAATAAAATTGAATTTTATATATTGAGAATAAAATTCAATTGGTTATATATATATATATATATATATATACATACATTCATTCGTTTTTTTCTCAATCTTGTCAACTTCACTACATCTTTACTTTAAAACTTTACATTGCTTTAACTTTACTTGAACTTTACTGTTTTTTGTTGCATGTAATTGTACACAATTAACTCGAAACAATTAATACAAAAAAATATTAAATAAAAGCACAACGCAAGATGCATAGACTTACCAAAATTAAAAAGAAAGATATGAAGCATGAAAATAATTCAAAGTAGGAAGCTGAAATATATTATTTAATATTAAGAACTTTCATGAATTGATAAAATATACCATAATATTAATTTGAATAAATATTGATGGGCTATCAAAATAACAGAAAACACATCATAAAACTCAGCATAAACAAATATGGATACGAGCTACACGTGTCCATGTTTCATTCACAATTCATTATTCGTTTTTTTTTTCACAATTCAACTGTAGTAAAAATTTATGAATTTTTCAATGATGAAATCCTGGGGTTTATTTCTGTTTGATGAATAAATATTGTTGTTTGAAATTCCAAAACCATCATGATTATTCTAAATAAAATCAAAAAAAGGAGAAAAAAAAACAAAATAAATCGAATAAAACATTTAAAAGAAAATTTTTAACTATATATATATATATATATATATCTTGCTTCCATGGGTATGTTTCTGATAGTAAAATACAACAAAATATTATATTTTCTAATCTGATGTATATATATATATATATATATATATATACATATATATTGCTTCCAAGGGTATGTTTCTGATAATAAAGTACAATAAAATATTATATTTTCTAACCTGATGTAAACACTTGGTAAAAGAACATTCTTTTCCTTTTTGATTTAAGAATCATTTCATTATCTCTTAAAAATAACATTTAAATATGACACAAACTTAGATTTAAATTTATTTGTACAGGCAGGGGAAAAAAAAATCGCAACTTTTGTAATTTTTTTTTTTTTTTTTCCCTAAAACTCATTGTATTTCAAAAAAATTAATTAAATTAAAGGATAATTTTGAAAATTTTAGTGTCATTATTTTTAAAAATTACAATATCAATCAAATTCATTCGATTCTGTCAAATTAATTCTAAATTTTTTCTTACCAAAGTAGCAACATGATAGCTAAGTTTTATTGTAATTAAAAATGTGTGTATATGTATACGTGAAATTAATAGTAATTAAACTTGAAAAACTCTTGAACATGTCAGAATTAACTTAGAAATTCTAAAATCTGACAATTTCATTTGAATGGGTTTTCACACATTAATGTTTCTATGTAAAATGCAAATTGTTATACATTAAACAGAGTTTTCACAGAATTCTTTTTCCATGTACTAATGAAAAGAATCAACAATAGTAATTAATCAAATCATCAAGATGTCATTCATTTATCTATAATATTTTCCTGCTTCAAAATGTTGATATTATTCATGTTAATTTAGACAAACATATAAATTCTTTAAATTTAATTAAGTTAAAAAGTGGCATCATAAAAGTTTGATACATAAAGTAAAATGCACTTTTAAAAAAATTACTTGTAACATTTTTATACTATATATTTGCAATAATAAGAGCATTGCAAAACATAAAGGATGTATAATTGGTTTTTAAAACACATTTTCAATTGCAAAATACAATGTACTTGTATCTATTGATAGAATTATGTATATGTATATATATATATATATATATATATATATTCCGATTCTAGAACGTTTCTCAAATTTTATATTCATTAAGGAACTTGATATGTTGCAGTGCAGCTATTTCAAAAAAAAAAAAAAAAAAAAAAAACCATAAAACATAAAACATAAAACATAAAATAAACATAAAATAAAGAAAATTAAAAATAGAGAAAAAATAAAAGAGAAAAACAAATAAATACATTAGTGATTATTTTATAATATGTGAATATATGAATATATATATATATATATATATATATATATATGAAATTAAAATATGAAGACGACAAGATTTTAAATTACATCTTAAATACAATCACAACAAATTGTCCATTCATAATTCTACATTCTTATACTTTTATTTTTTTATAAATCTACAATTATCATATTAATTAATAAATTTAAGATTGCACATTTACACACACACATATATATATACATAGGAAAATGTTAAAGTATCCCACGCATTTACTATATCAACCCATTGTATCAAAACCATCATTAAAAAAATAGATCATCTCTAAAAACCATAATTAGAATCATGGCCCTCATCTTGACCTCCCTCATTCTCAACCCTTGTTCCTAGTTCTCATCCCAATCCCCCATTCTTCAAATTCCTAACCCTCATTTTGACCTCCTCCATTCCTAGCATCCACTTCCAACCCTTGCTTTCAACCCTCGTCACCATATAAATAACAAGTAAAAAAAATGTAACTATTATGGTGATTCTTACACTCTTCTTGGCCTTTTTTTTTTTTTTTTTTTTTTTTTTTTCCTAAATGAATTCATGCGAAAACAATCAAATAGTTACAAGAATTAAGTTTCTTACGTTTGCAAAACTTACAGCAATTATAGTATATTTTGTATATTATAAAGTTGATTGATGGTGATTTAAAAAATTATTATTAAAGTGTTGTAAGATATTGCATACAATTTGTTCTATGTGAGATTGAATTGGAGTTTGGTTTGTCATGCAAAATGGGTCTTTGGATTTGTATAGAAGGATATATCTGCCTTCTTGTTTGTTTGTATTTCTTAGAGTAGATCATTTGATTGCATTGATAGACCTACATCCACATATGGCGCTTTGAGGCTCGATTCATAAGAACAGTCAAGCCTTGAATTTCTCCATGCAATAGATAAAATTAAAATTTGCAATTTTTTCATCCAAATCTCTTTCATTTGAAAAAAAAGGAAATCCAATCCAATCTCAAATTCTTACAACCAAGGTATGATAGAGTTAGAATTCAAATAGATTAACTTGCACCAAATCTCAACATATATGCAAATATAAAGTGGTACCATTAGCAATGTGACTGCATGGACTTTTGACATAGTTTCTTCTTGCAAATGAGACACTTTTTTTGATGTTTGCAATTATTCCAAATTTATTTTGTACAAGAGGTACTTACATTGGCATACATATAGGATACAAAGCATGACCTTGGGCGCTTTCGAGAAGTAGTTTCTTTGATGTACATTATAAGAAGTCCCTCCACCTCTTCAAAACAAACAATATAATCTTCTTTGCACTCTAAGATTACATTTGCTTCTTTGAACCTCTATGTTTGCTATTAAGTTATAAATCTGATCTTTAAAGGTCACGATCTCCATTTCAAATCATGATCCACTTTATAATGTATAATGTACATCAAAAGACAAAGAATAGCAATTATTAGATACCTTATCATTTCATCTAGAACAACAAATTGTTATCAGTCCATCCTCCTTTACTTGGCCAAGAGCTTCTATGCCTTTCTTATAAGATATTAGAATGATTCTACAATTGTTGTTGTTGTTGTTGGGTTATTTTTTATTTTTTAATACTAGTTCATGGTTCATCATCTTGGATAGCAAGATTGCTTCATGTGTGGACTATTGCCATATATAGGTATTGTCTCTTAGGCAATAAAGGCAAAGTGAAGTCCAATAGCACTTTGCTCTTGTAGTACAAGGACTTGAGATTGCTCTTATTCAGCTTAACATACATAAGGCATTGCATGTAGGCATCTATTATTAGCATATTTTTATTGCTTTTTGCCTCACATAGCCTATAAAGTTTGAAGAAGCACATATTTATTTGCATGTCTAGAACTAGATTGACCTCCAAACTTCCAACAAAGCAACAAACAAACAAAAGAAATGTGTGATTGAATGTAGGAGGATTGTGCCACCTTAAACCAAAGAATATCAAACTGTGAAGAATATCTATGAGAGGTATTGTGCAGCAAATGCTTTGGGATCTAGATGATGTTGAGCTTGCACTGTTGGTTGAAGGAGAGAAGTAGGACTAGGACTTGAAGCTAACCAAGGTAAAAGATAAGAAGAATCTCAAGGAGTTGAAACAAGGAGATTGGGATTGAAATGAGGTCCCTGATTCTAATGTTGGTTTCCAGAGATGATTCATTTTTCTAATGATGGTTACAATATAGTAGGTTGATTTAGAAAATATATGGATTACTTTAACATTTTCTTCTATATATATATATATATATATATATTTGAGTTTGTTGTATCTTAAAATTGAATATAAAGGATGATAATCTAATTACAAATACTAATAGAAGTCTATTCTTTGATGGACCTAGTTAATAAAAAGTTGATTTGAATTAATTACCTATATACATATATAAAACAATGCATATCTTTTCAAATAAAACATTTTGCAAAACTATCATTTATTTATTTATCATTTATTTATTTATCAAGTTTTTATATATTTGTATGGAGCTTTTCATTTTTGCAAATTCTTCCTTCATTACACATGGATAATTCAACCTAAAGTAATGATTGTCAAAAAATCCTTAAACAAAACAATCTTTTTCATGCATCTAAATATCATGATTTCAAACTCTTTTTAGGATATGTGTGACATATCAGATCAGACTTTATGATTTAATCATTGTATTCCTATTTTTAGTTTTATATTTGAACCAACTCTTACTCCCACATATGAATCCAATGTTCATTCCTAAACAGACACTTTCAATACATACATTTCTATGTACACCTGATTTTTAAATATATATTTTTCCTTCTTTTTGACACATAGTAGGTTTTTAAGACAAAGGGGTTTTATTTCATCATCAACATACATACTTGCATCAAGCTTGACTGCTAAAATCATAGTGAAGTAAGGTTGTGAACAGAAAATGGTGGTACAACATTGCAGTGCTCAGAACACCCATCAAGCTAAGTTTACAACTTTTAGGCTTCCCCAAAAAGCTCTCTAATCAATACTTCAGTACCAAATATAGAACATGCAAACAACTGTGAGACTATATAAGTAACGTAGGAAGTACCTGATCATTATTTACAAGAGCTGGTGCAACACTTATTTGTATGGCTTAACCTATCCATCTATGAAGTCTAGCTGTAAATGGCACGTCGTTGCCAACCCTATCAATTTAAAGACCTCAGTTCAGCACTGAGAGCTATGACGGTGATTTTTCAATCTGCAAATGCTGTGGAAACACCTGATAGTAAGGATCGCAGAAAAGTGAAAGAGTTCTTACAGCAGGTCACACTAATGTTGGGAAATGTGCTGATGTAGTTCTTCCAAAGCATGATGCCCCGTTGACTTGATCTTGTTTAGAAAAAATCCCGTCATCTTCACCTTTAGAAAGTAGATGTTGAAATGTTGAAAAGTGCTTTGACATTTGTATGGTTGTTGCTAATGTACACTGAAAACTACCTCTAGGTTTCTTTCATTGAAAGCGAGGTTTCCGATATTCTATCACTGTGTAATGCGTAATCAGTAGAGAATGATACCACGGATGTGTCACTTCATGTCTACGTCAACAACTCTTGCTCACAACCACCACCATTTTTTACTGTCCTCGGACTCCACCAAAACCTTTCTTGGGGGACTAATACTTCCCAAGCTCCAACCCGCGTCAAACAACACGGTTAGCTCGTCATCGGAATCCTCGCCAGGGGAGCTCGCAGGAATTACAGGAGCAACATTTAATTTCCCCTTGCCATCGCTTCCACCAGACGAGGGCTTCCCTTCATCAACTTCTTCAAATAAATCTGCTTTTCTAACCACCTCAGGATGGGTACTCCTTTCAGAGGTCTCGGGAGTCGAAGAAGTGGAGATGCCGATTTCAGAACTGCTATTGTGCGTATCCATGTTAGAACTAACCTCAGCTCTACTATCCACCACATACAGATGCTTCACTTCTGGATCAGTTTTCAAATCCTTCTCATCATCCAGTAGGTGGACCTCGTGAAAAACAAGATGCACATCTTGAAATTCGCTATGCTTACTGAGCCAGCTGGAAATGGCTGATGCAATAGAGGTACCGACCGTATAAATAACTGGTACAAATACGTTCAGAAGAGGCACCCTGTTTACATACTTAAGCGAGTCTGCCGTTTTAGATTTCACTGTCACTTCATACTTCATCCAAGTATCCGCGGCAGCACCGATCACACCACGCTCAGAAACCTGCTCATATGCAGATGAAGCAACAGTTCCAGCCTGACCGATCAAACTATGAACACCCTTGACTTTCCTGATTAAGCCTGATAAAAATGGAATTTTCTTCGTAGTAATCTGCCCCAGCTCATACAGCTGAAACATAGAAAAAGTAAGGACAGGGTTAGAATTCAAACGTAATGATAAACTTCCCCTCGTTAACTGGATAAGGAAGTCAACAAAAGTACCACATTAGGCTATGACCATGCACAACAGAGTGATTAGGAATGTCAAATACCTTCTCGTCGGCAAGAGACAGAAAATACAGGCTTTCAGTTCCCACTCTGGTAGCTAGAGGCTGAATGCACGGGCTAACAATGTCCTCAACCGCACCTATCGCAGGTCCAACAAGACCTGGCAGGCGCCGGCTCTTACGGAGTATATAAAACGTCAGTGACACAGCAATGGACCCAATACCCTGCAAGAGCATTGGTCGCTCTGTTGCTGTTTCGCCAGAAACCTGCACACACCGTTTAAAGTCAAAATCAGATCACATGTCTGATTTGTTCTAACCCTTGCTTGACACTAACATACGAAAACAAATATCTCAAGTAGACGCCTGTTTCCATCCTTGAGTACTGAGATATGAAAAGCGTGGCTCAAGTTGGTCGTACCATAGCTACCTAACCTGCGTTCAAATTCCTACAACATCTTCACGTATTCAAAAACTACCACGTGTGAAACTATTCCTATACAGAATCATACAAGAGCGTGCGCGCGCGCGTGTGAGAGAGAGAAAGAAAGAAAGAGGGAGGACGCGCGATTAGGAGTCTAGAATTAATACCTGGTTTACAATATCTACTTTATCGAAGCATGCATATTAAGTAACCGATGACAAATCTTCAAATCTCTCAACTTGCCCAAGCTAGATATATAGCATAACCTTGATTAATGTAAACCAAGCGGTTAAAGCAAAAGCTTAATATCCAGCTATGACAGAACGTGCTCAGAAAAAGCAATACTAATCCAGCGAAGATTAAGTGCTTACATCTTCATTCGACGAACTACACGAACATGAACAGTTGGAAGACATGTTGCTTCAAACAAAGAACATCTCGCTCGATCAAGTGACAGAAACACTGCTGGCTCATCCAAAATGTCTCGTGTCCGCGTCACATTATGGAAATTGTATTCACATGCAGCCAATGTGATCACCTGCACTGACACAATTTGCAATGAATATTATATCCTGGTTCTCTGCTTAACATACTTACGACTGCACAACACATGATTACACAGGTAGTGTAAAATACAAAATGGCGAACTAAGTGTTGACGGTGAACCGGTAAAGTGCTGTAATTGTTTGCCACGACAAAAACCATCATACCCCTCCTCAACTCTACTCACGCATATACAGCTCTGAGTTCTTCAAATAAACTGCCACATGACAGAGGATTGAAGATGCTCCAAGCACAAGTTTGACCAAATCAAATAAAAATAAATAAATAAATAAATACTTCAAAATATATTACACCATTATCCCCGTTCGAAAGACCTACCTGAAGGAAGAAAAAAGAAAAAAAAAGACAAAAAGAAGATAAACACTTGTGCTACACATTTAACTACAACACTGGTGCCAAGTATAAACCAAAAACCCGCACGTTCTGGCGACAAAACCAACGCTTGCTCTAACGCAAACTACAACTTGTGTGCACGAAGTCCAAACAAAAAAACATGCCAACAAGTATCCCCTAAAATGTGCACCATACTAATTTTCCCGCCACATGACCACTCCGAAAACACCACCGATGAGACCTCAATCGCCTCTATCACAATTGCAAGGCAATCCTACTCACGCATCCTGCAAAAAAAACCCATTCAAGACGACTACCGCAAAATCTCACTTCTGTAGGATCCTTTACAAGCTTCCCGGCACTTCGCCTCCTTCACAGACAGCCAGCCAACCCTCGAGGACACGTCTGGCGCCTTAACACTACTACAACCGCGTCCTCCGCTCAAAACCAACGCATATTATTATTTTTTGGTTTGAAATAAGAACACACAGAAACAAGCGGTGAGGAACAAGTACCGCACAGCGACGGAGGCACCGAGAGAGATCTGCAAGACGGTGTGCGCTGCGAGGCGGGGCGGGGCTTAGATTCCACAGAGGGGATGGTGGGAGGGAGCGTGGAGGAGAAGCCCAAAGCTGGCACACAGACGCACACCATCTTTTACCTCCCACGACATCTTTCTCACTCGGTCGGAAAGATAAAAGATTAATTTCACTTGACGCGACAAAGCGATGTGGCGGCAGAAACGAGAAAAGGTGTCAATCTATCTCTCCTCTGCAATTCATTGCGCAGCTTCAAAAGCCGAAGCTTGTGTTGACACAATAAAAGAATATTGACTTGTTGTTACTCATCGCAGCACTGGCGCAATTGAAAACTACTCACCGAAGAGCTGGGATGAGGATGTTCTTATATTAAACCACGGTTGTTCCATTTGAACACCATTTTGAATGGATGGCAGCTGCACCCTTCGATCACTGTGCACGGGATGGTTTTTCTCTTTGATGGTAGCACTATCGGTAAAACTGGAGCATTTCTTCCTCTGAAGATCGTCACGAAGCTTGACAGAAATTGGGAGATAAAGGGCACTGCTCACTCCGGCTCAAAAGCTGTATGAAGGCGAAATCTGGTGGTTATTTGCTCTATAGTGTATTTGTTGGTTCCGATGTCCACTGAAGGCAATCGCCAGGCTGGGGGGAGGGGAGGACCTAAAAGCAGTGGCACCAACCCCAATCTGAATTCGAAACCCAGGATTCGGAATTTATTACACAATTCAAGTCCCGTGTACTATGTTGGGACTGCTGAAAGGGGGACAACCGAGGAAATGATCGTGGGACCAGGGCTCAGCTAACAGAAAAAAAAAAAAAAAAAAAAAAAAAAGGAGGGCGAGGCAGCGGGGAAAAAGAAGGACCACCGTCTTTCCGTGGATAAAGAAGGGAGGAGTGCCTGGGCGGGAGACCCATGCGCCTGCTCCAAGTTGTCCTTCACGTGCATCTCCGAATTGCCTGCCACGTAATATTTGCATCCAGGGGGGTATGTGCCACCTGGATGGTGCGCATTTCCTCCCCTTCAGGAACGTTCTGCCTCAACCTCAGCCTGGCTGATGTGTCGCTTCTGTTCAAAAACTGCATGGAAGTTCTAATCCCACTTCCTCTACTCTACGAATACCGTACGTAATGTGTACCATATCATGTACATACGATGGCCATCCCTGTGTCTTATATTTAGGGTGGTTAAAGATTCTTGATATCTGCATTGGCTTTAGTTTTTTCAAGTCTGAAATTAGATTTGATTGTAGCAGATTTTTAACTGTGTTGTTGTTTCAAAAATTTAGATAGATAGATAGATAGATTATTACTAATATCACCATAATTTACCATCCATCACATGGCACTATAGATTTTGTTACTGCTACTACAACCTACCATTTATTACATACCATCCATAATTTTGCCAATATATATATATATATATATATATATATATATATATATTACAATATTTTAAAATTAAAAATTAAAAAACTTATTATTATTAAAATTTTGATTATTTTTAATTGATATTAAATAAATATGTTAATTAGGTGGTAGATGGTGGTAGCAATAGCAAAAATTCTAGTGGCACGTGGTAGATGCTAAATTGGGGTAGTAGTAGCAATATCCAATATGTATTCATATATATATATATATATATATATATATATGAGGTTCTATTTTTTAAAAATATATAAGATGTTAAATTTTACTTTAATATCATTTATATTTTATAAATAACTTTATAATAAAAAATATACAATAAAAATGATAGCCACAATTCTTAAAACCTTCAAAAAACCACATTATTTGGAACTAAAATGATCAAAATAAATATTTACAAAATAAAGTACATTTGAAAGAAACAAGACCTTCAAAGATGATGGATGATTTAAAATTTTATATTATTTTGTAATACATATTTTTAAATTAATTAAATAATCTAACAATATTTTAAAGACTATCTTGTAAATACATATTATATTAAAGTGAATAGAAGAAAATATATACATATAGAAACATATTAGATAGATATTATTTATTGAAAAGACCAATAGTTATAATATCATAATATATATTTTAAAAATAAAAATAAATTTTTAATTTTTCTAAAAAAATTTATACAAATTGTAAGTTGGAAATAAATTTATATATTTATAATATTAATTTTTTTAAGAATACAAAAAAGGTATACCACAAGTGCACAATAAAATAAAGAGTTTGAGGCTTTATAATGCATGAATTCTATGACTTGAAATAACTCAAAGAGATACTATAATTTGTATTTAAAAAATTATTTTAATATGTTATAAAATAATTTAAATAATTTTATAATTATTATATTTTATATAAAATAATTATACTAATAATTTTTAAAATGCTTAAATCATAATAAAATAAAATATAGACCTTGAAGCTAAAGGGTAGTAAAATCAATGTATTAATCTTATATTACTTTATACTATCTTTAAAAATAGATATTTTTTTTAAAGAGTATTATTTTTATGATAATTTTTATCACCAAATAAAATAAATAAATATAAAAATATATTTTTAAAAAATAATATAAAAACCTAATAGTCATACTAAAACCACTGAGGTATTAAAAAAATATTGAGTGAACATTGCAAGACACACATATATGTTTACATGATTTGGACACTCCTAGTGATACAAAGCCCATAATTGCACTCACTTACTCAAGACCATGCACGCCACAAAGTCCACCAATAAAGAAAGTTAAAAATGAAAAAATATTGCATAGAAGAAGGTATTCATTTTCTCTCTCAAAAATGTGAGTTTTATCAATTGTAGAGAGAGAGCCAAGTAGAAATGGAAATTTAGAGTCCAAGGTAGATGACCCATTTCCAATAACCTAAGAATTTTAGTATACATTCAATAGGTGAAAAAATAGAAAAGTGCCTCTATATAGGAAGATAAAAATAAAAAAAGCTTTCAAGTGTTTTCACACAATTTGGTCTAAAAATATAATTTATATAAATATTTTAGCTGAAAATTCTCTTCTATCTATTTTGGACATATACACCTATTTAATTTCAATTAATAGTGGATTACAAAACCAAACATTCAACTATTATAAAACCATGATGTGTGGTCCATACTAATTCTATCAATCTTCATATAATTCCATGCTATCTATAGATCTAAATGTATAAATGAGGCCATGAAAATTCAAATGTTTGTTTGTAATTAATCTACCATGTTCAAGTTGGATTTTTGCCACTATTTATACTTTTTTTTGCTCATCATAAATATTTTTTTACATGTTCCATCTTCCAATTTTAATCCACAATGTTACTAAACTTCATATATATATATATACTTTCAAGGTAAGTTTCTTACGACACCTCCATAGTGCCAAGTATGATGGACATCTTTACAATGCCTATTATAGCTGTTAATTGTTGCTCTGCACCAATTGGAGTTGGAGATTGGCCTATAGCATCAATTAGAGCTTGTAATTGTTTGGCCCTACTAATCCCAAATAACAATGTCGTATTATGTGAAGTTTACTTGAGAATGCACTAGACACTTGGCTGTGGAAGAAAAAATGGAACTTGCAATAAGATGACCTTAATAACTTTAACAAAATCATAAATAAACTCCAATTAAATTGTAGCAATGTTAATCAATCTTTAATTAAAATCAAAATAATTTTCAAGAATTAATAAAAGAAATATATAGAAATAATAAATTAACCTTAATAAAATATATATAATATAAAAATATCAAAAAAATATCAAAAATAAATATCTTAACTAAATCCTAATCAAATCCTAATATAATTCTTAATAAATCCTAATAAAATCCTAAACCAATCTTAATCAAATCTTAAATCAAAGTATAAATTAAATTTTAATTAAAATCCTAATAAAAATCCTAATAAATCTTAATCAAATCCTAAATCAAATCCTCATAAAATCCTAAATCTTAGACCAATATTAATGATATCATAGTAAAATTCCAATAAAATCCTAATAAAAGCTTAAGTAAATCCTAATCAAATCTTAATTAAATTCTAATCAAATATTAATAAAATCTTAGTCAAATCTTAATTAAACCTTGAAAAAATCCTAAATCCTAACCAAATCTTATACAAATCTTAAATCCTAAATAAATCCTAACAAAATCTTCAATCCTAAACTAACCCTAATCAATCTTTAATCAATATTTAAATCTTAAACAACTTTTAAGAATCCTACAATACATTAAAAATAAAATAATTAATAATTGAATCTTTGATTTTGACTCAAAATCTGCACATTTTCCAACAACTAAACAAGCTACTAGTAAAAAAAATAATTAAAGAAGATTGAACATACCAATTGCAAGAAAAGATTCCAAAACCTCTCAGTTATTGGCCACCCTCCTTCTCCAACTTGAATGTTGATCTTTTAATAAAGATTTTTTCTTGCTAAACTATTCAATTGCCCAATAATTTGAATTATGTGTAGATATTTAAGTCTAAATTTCTCTCACCAAATTTTTTTTCAATTAAACTAGAAAATATTGCCAAATTATAAAATTTTGCATTGATTCTAAATTCCAATTATCTAAGACCAAAACCTACAAAGTCCCTCATATGCTTCAATCTAATTATTTAATTGACATCAAATTTTTCACACACATTTACAACAAGCACAACAAAAAATTGCTCAATTTTTACTTGTAAATATGCTACAAAACTCACAACATCCTAAAATTTGGAAACTTATTTTTATTTTTCAAAATCTAAATCCAACAATTATATTATTAATTTT